TTGAAAAACATGAGTATAGTTTGTGGTTTGGATTCTCTTTGAATATTTTTACAAATTCTTTGACATAGCATTTTTTAACAGTAAAAGTTATTTATGATTTAAAAATTCTTAATGAAATTCTCACTTATTTAATTTTCATCAAAATATATGTTTTTATCCCATCCATGTTAGCATCATCAATTATTTTCTATCCTCGCCTCCTAATATTTTTTTATCTCTATATCTGATATTCTTAAACTTCATACTTAATGACATCATGCAACTTTTTTATTTACTATCTCATTGTCAAAGTCAATAATTTTTTTGACATGTCATTTTGTTTTAATTTTTTCCAAATTTTTCTTAGATCCTAGTAAAAATAATAATTTATATGCTAGATTTACAAAACCTATTGATTCACACTTTATGGAGTACAGATCCACATAAAAGTTTGCAACTAACCAAATTGCTCAAAAATATTGCATTTAAGTTTTTTTTAGACATAGGAATAGAAGTGCTAGGAGTTCGCCTTGTATTATGGGTGAAATCAATTGATAAATCTCGGATATTCAGAGTTAAGTTATTATGACAAGATTTTATAAATACTATGTGAGTTTAAAAAATGTACCTTCTTGCAACGCAAACAAGAATCCTTGACTAAGATTTTGTTGAAAGATCAAAAATCATTTTGGAGCTGGTTAGTAGTATGGTACTCAAAACATACTCTTGATTTCAAATCTTTGGTTTCTTTTGATCAAAACTCTATTTATTTTCCGATGTTACATCTATGTCACGTTGTGAAGAAATATTATTGTTTGAAGTAGAAATGATGACTCACAATCAATAAATTAGCAAGTGATAAATATAAGGATTTGGATGATATTTTTATCAAACCTTTCAACTTTCAACTGAACAGTAGATTGTATTGGATCAAAAGTCATCAAATTATTGTAAGATGCTCCTATCTATGATTTTCTTTAATCTGATCGCTTCAAAAATGGCTCCCATTCACAGATCAAGAAGTAAGAAATTGCTCACAATTATTGCAGTATCATGATGAGTAATGTTTTTGTCAAATTTTTTGGGAAATTTGTGGAGTTTGAGTTGAGCACGATGATCGAATCTTTTCAAATAGAGCACAAATCTAAATTATTTTTTGCTCTACATGCAACATTATCTATCATATTTTGACCTTGCGTGTTTCATGGAAAAATTTAAAGACCAATGAGATTGCTTTTTCATCAATTTGAAGAAAAAACTTTTGATACTATTTCTTGTAAGCTTTTATTGTAAAGTATGCAAGCCGTTAGAGAGTCATCAAATTTTCTTCCAACCGTGATCACGTTATAGCATTCTATATAAACTCCAAATTGATGTTTATACAGATGATATAAAATATTGTTATATTATTCTGTCCAAGCCAAGATCAACAAATCTCAAACTTAAAAGATCTTGAATAGCATCAGAGTCATTCAAGATTGTTCTCTCTCTCCTATTCTATTTGGAGTTTATTAAATAATATAAAAAAGTTGTTGGATTAATGTGATATTGAGGTTGTAAAGCTTGAAGATTTTGTCATCAAAGCTCTACTATATGCAAATGATATCGTATTACTAGCACGTGATGTCATTAGTTTAAAAAAACACTTTAACATTTTTACAAAGTTTGTACTGAGTCTTAGATGGAAGTCAAGAGTGAGTACTCTAAAGTTCTCATAGTTGGCATTAGATCCAAGTTATTCTTCTTTTACAAAGATCTACAAATAAAACAAACCAAGAGTTAGAATTATCTAGACATCTCTAATCATTATAGTAGGGCACTTTTCCTGCAAAAGAGTATAGAAGGTGGTTACAAAGCTTTATTATCATTGTTACTCTGATGTAGAAGAGTTCCTATCGTGTCTTAGAATTTTAAGGAAAAAAAATGTAAGAGCTTTTATATATTTCAAGTGTGAAGTCTTGGTTGTAAAAATACAAGTTGGAAGCAAGTGAAAAGGGTGCAAAAAATCTTTATACATGAAGAATTGAGTGTAACAACCAAACTCTATATGATATTTTTGTTGCAAAAAAATGTTGTACTTTTGTATAGGCTAAAGCTCTTTATTTCATAATCATATATATATGAAATATGTAATCACTTCAATCTAATGAACTCTTGATCTCTTGAAGACAAAAGCTTTCTTGATCAAGCGTTGCAAGCCACACGTTCAATAGTATGATTATCAAAATTGGTGACTTGGTCTTTAAAGTCAAATGTAGCACACGATTGGGACTTGCAACCGATAATACTCCGCAAACATCTACAGTAGCAATTTCTTCAACATTATTTAGAAGAAATTAAGCATCAAAATGCAGTTTTACCAATTTCATGTGAATACTATGTTTGTATATTGTGAAGAAGAGTACCTACTTGTGAGGATCTCAATGTTCTTACGTCATACTATTGCACGACATAAAACTGGATCCTATGGAACTGGATCTCATATAAATTGAAAAAGAACAATGATTTACTATTGATGGGATTGAACAAATTTGTAGGCTATGTGAGCATATAATATTGAGCATGTGTTTGTTACATGTATCAAGAGATTAGACTGGGCCATAAAATAGATGTGGATAATTTCCATTCTTTATTACACTTACTGCTTTATGAATTAGGATGTTAGACTAGAGACTTCATTATTCATAGTTCTCGTGCTCTAGGCATTAACTAGTAGAAGTTCTTTAGATCTTTTCGATTGTGTGTTTTAGGCTTTTCACCCTTTGGGTCCCATTGGCTTGATCTATTTACCATTTAATTTCTTCTTCTTGGGGTGAGGTTGAGAAAGTATATAATACAATCTCGTTCCATCACGTAGCCAAATATAGAAACGATACCTTTATCCTTAAATGCTAGTTTCCAGTTGAGGTTTAAATAAACAAGGGCACGAAAGTAACATGAAAATGTATGCTACTCGTACAATCTTTTCGACCAATATTCATAGTAGGTTTCAAAGCTATCATTTGTTGGTCCCCGACGCACTCCTGTGAAGTTTGCTCTTTGCAACAAGAATATTCAATTGTCCGGCGATTCAAACATAAATATGCATTCATCGGAATAAAGGAAGACATTGTAACATTCTGTATGGTGTACAGCTCAATCCATTGATACTCATACTAATGAGTAAGCTCAAGAACATTCTTGTTGCGAAGTTTACAGTTTTCAAGACTTACAAATGATCTGACGGCACTCACTACAGTATTGATTCGAGCCTAAAGTGTCACAAGGGAAACGAGGGTGAACTACTGTCAAATAGGGTTATTAAATTATGTAAAGACTGGGGCAAGTTCACAGGCCGGAATGAGAAATTCTACAGAGCAGCGGACGGAACGAACGGTGCCAACCTCGTAGGACATGTGGTAAGGGTCAGTAACAGATGTGTGTTGGATCCAGCCCGAGACCACAGACTGACCTTCGCATGTCATAGGACGGGGAACCTGGCGGGCAGACTGGGGAACACAAACGGGCGCATGGTTCAGAGCTGATGGAGGAAACGAAAGGATGCAGACTTTGTGTCCATCTGCAGTCACAGGGGCTCTTCATTTTCTGTGGGTACATTGCGATTTTGTCAGAATCATGTTAGCTGCTCATTGGCCTAAATCGTTGCTCGTGCTTTCCCCTCCCTCCACTGCGTATCTAAGCGACGGGTGCTGCTGCCCCTGTACAAGTGGCATTTGAGGGCTCCGGTGATCTATCAAATCATTTGCTATGGTTCCGGGATTCTGGGACGTGCACCTCCATTTCATCACGCTCGTGCCTGGTGTCCGGTACAAGGTACAGGACCCATCCAATCGATGGACGCCAGCTAACCTCGCTAGTAGTAGTGGATCTCTCAGATATCGAATCAGGAACGGCCATGGAACCTGAAACCTTCCCTGCTGTCAATGCATCCATCGTCGACCAGTCCCTTGACCCTATTTGGACTAGATTTTGTTTAAAATTCGTTTCAAGCGCTGATCAGACAATTTTTCGTATGAAGATCGTGTCTTATAGTCATTTTTTATTAAACACTAGATGCAATAAAACATACCTCTCATCGTAATCTATTGGGGTCTATTTACCTGGTCAAGTCCTTATTGTTTTGGTTTCATCTGCAGTTATGTAATTTTTTTTTATTTTTTTTATTTCCGCTTTTAGAGTCATATAGTGAATACGATCAGACGTGTTTTGCAATCTTTGCATGTCATTAGATATAAATGTATACATATGCGTATAAATGTTGACATTTCATTAATAGCTCAACACTTACATTTTGGGCTCAGTTTTTTAAGAATACTCGTGAGAGCTGATGGAGTCCGAGCTTTAACACGAATGTCTACTCTGCAGCAGCAGCGAGCCCAAACGATATGGGTCTGAGAATTGACTCAGAGACTTTTCGGTCGAAACAATTTTCAGTTTGGATACTCGATGTTTGAAAGAACAGTGTCCATCATCAACAACAGCAAGTTTTCATGAAGAGTCAATATGAAAGTAAGGAAAAGTATTTCGATTGTTGAAACATTCAACAAATGGATGGAGGATACAGTGAGTGTTATTTACAGGAATACACTTCCGATGAACTTGAAATGGACATAAACAAACATGTGAGAACGGATTCCAAGTGAAAGATGACCAAATAGTATGTACCACGTAAGAGGAAGAGAAGAAGAAGGAAAAACCCGAAGATATTCACAAATGTAGTGAACCAAATGATAATTTTTAGAATCCTTTGCCATATGTAGACCAGTCATTTCGATAGCTCGGATATATATGCCAAAATTTGAGCTTTTGGAGCCTAGCCCTATCTACCGATTTGGTTTCATCCACGTGGGATTTGAGTCTTCTATATTTTTTGCTATACTAGGTGCCAGTATTTTAGCTGACTTGGCTCTATCGTTGTCAACTTCCTTACCCGTATGATACTAACTGGGTTATGCTTTCTGAAGTACAAGCTGGTGTATGAGTGGAGAAGACTACTGGGTCTGTTGCTGAGCTCGACTTGGTGAGTCACCCCACGTAACGGCGGTCGGTGAGCGATGGATGAGGGCTGGGTTATTTTTCCTTAGGCTATGGTCCCTCCAACTTGCTTTGTTGTTTAGCATGGAGACAGGGCATTCTCTCTGTTTTCTACTTATGGACTGTTGCTTTCTCCCAGCTTGCTCGATGTTTCGGTAAGAATCTGTTTGGCTATGGTTCATCCTGGTGCTTGCAGTCATTTCCACCTCTAGATTCGTTTCCGCTTGACTGATGGATTGCGCAGTGACGGGCCAGGTGAGGGATTGCTCCTCTTTTTGGTTACTTCGGCTATGGTTGCTTTCTGTGGATTGTATATGGTGATTGATTCGTGGCTAGGACATGTGCGTGCGCCGGAATTCTTGTAGAAGATGTTCAGTTCACAACTTTCGCGGCACATCGAGGGTTGGTTTGCTCGGGGATCTCTCTTAAGAATGTAGGGCGGCGTGATTCTACTATGCATCAGATTCTATGACTGCTGAATAGCTGATCTCGAGTAACATTTGTACGTGTATTGGATCCGTAGTGGTCCGCTATCGATCATATCGTCGGTCGGAGGACAAGCATCTCCAAGGCAGTAGCAAAAGTCGGTGTCTTGCAATCTTGGACGAAAAATCACAGCGAGGATGGTCTTGTGGCAGTAAGCGTGTGAGCTTGGAATGAACTTCGCAGGCCTAAGTACGGGAGATTTATGCTGGTCTGGGATATACGTCCACCACCGAAATTGCTAGTCCGGGGAGGAAATCGCGAGGCAGAATCGCATGAATCGAGCGGAGTTGGACTTGAATGTTTTTGGTAGGAACTGTGGAACTGCTGGGGTGAAGTCATGGTTTGGCCCTGCGCGTGGATATAGTACGATTGGCTCGAATGGTCTGTGTTTTGGGTTGGGATGAAGCTTGGCAGCTTGCTGGAAGAAGCTCGCAGGGGAGATTATTTGCGGGTTTATCGGAGAAGCGTAGACATCTTAGGGATTGTTCAGAGGTAGTCTCGTTTTTGTCTAGTTGAGGACTGCCATCATACATTGAGGTCGCATTGATGGCCCTCTTTTGGCCACACCTCAGTGGTGGTGGCGGAAGACGTACTGGGCAACAAACATACTTGCCATCCAATTCTTTGATACTGTCCGATTCTTCGTTTTGGGGCTTTCCTCTTCCTGAGGTCAAATTGCCTTGTCGTTCTGTAAGGTCTTCAAAGAGTACTCCCGGTGGACTGTTTGGAGCTCTGCATTTCAAGTCAGTGGGACGATTGAAAAAGTATTTGTCTTTTAGAAACCTGTCTCGTCTTGGGGTTGGAGAGGACATCGAGAGACATGTAGCGTTTTACTGCTTAGGCGTTGCCGCCAATAGAGTCTTCATAGAGACTGCTCAGAAGCAGATTACGAATTCGACACTTCGAAGACCAGGAGTTTTGCAGAATATGGAGAGCACTGTAGGAGTGTTGTCACTACCTCAGCCTGTATCCTTACGGCCCTCCGCGGGACCTGCCAGGGATTTTCTGTTTGCAACCCTAGGGGCAGTCTTTGCCTTTTTATTTGCTGGATTGATGAATAGAATTCGGAGTCTGGATGACCAGCAAGTGAAGCAGGCTGCCCTGGAGAGAGGAGGAGCCATGATGCCTGAAGTCGGAGTGAATCTCGGTCAAAAGGAGTCCGTCGAGTGGGTGAATATGCTAATTCATAAAATCTGGAAGGTTTATCGACGTAGTCTCGAGAGCTGGCTGGTCAAATTGTTGCAGCCTGCCATAGACAAGCTTGGAAAACCGGATTATGTGAAGAGAGTGGAGATTGCGGAGCTGAATCTGGATTATGAGCCAATCTCTGTCAGGAAGGTGAGGCGTAGAGCGTCCAGGCGAGCAAACGATCTGCAGTATCAGTTTGGACTGCGCTACACAGGTGGAGCCAGGTGTTTGCTGAATCTAAAATTGGGGAAGGCAGGTGTGGTCACCACCGTTCCTGTTGGGGTGTATAACCTAGATGTTGACGCTGAGCTGTGGGTAAAGCTGCGCCTGGCTCCAGTCAAGCCTTTTGTCGGAACCCTCTCCATTGCCTTCGTGCGTCTGCCAACTATCAAACTCGTGCTCGCACCTTTTAAAATAGTCAATTTGTTTGCCATTCCCTTCCTTTCCAGCTTTTTGTCGAAGCTGTTGACTGTAGATCTTCCCCGCTTACTTGTATTGCCTCGTCATATTACCTTCGACTTCCTGCCCCAGGGCCAAGACCCTTTAGCGACCACATTGATGGACTTGTTGAAAAGCGATACTGTTGCTGATGCATCTCGTCAGTCTGAGCCCACTGAAGCTTTTGTTGGCGAGCTTTCGGTGACAGTTTGTGAGGCTCGGGATCTTCCTATCAGAGGCTTGACGGGATGGAGCAACCCTTACTGTACTTTAGCTTTGGGGGACCAAGTGGTGGAAAGCAAACGTAACAAGGAAACCTCACATCCATCTGGGTTCAAAGATCCCGTTTGGAATCAGGACTTTCAGTTTCTAGTGGAGGACCTAAGGCAACAGAAGTTGATGGTACGAGTCCGAGACAGCTCCTTGACGCTGAACCCCAACATTGGCTACTGTCGAGTTTCTCTGGCAGACCTTCAGGATTGCGTTCCTCGTACACGTTGGGTTTCTTTGACTAGGGAGGGCGCGTTTGGCCCGAAAAAGGTTTCTGGAAAGGTGAGGCTTATTTTCACCTACAAGTCGTTTGTGGAGGAGAACAATAGTGATCCTGCATCACCTTACATCAAGGTGTTCAATAGTGACTCAATGGATGAATTAGAGCAAGCCGGCATCAGGGTGAGCTCGGGTCTCAATGTTGATGTTCTCACCAAAACCTTACCCACAGTCAACTGGAGAAGCACTGATGGTGATTCAGATTCAGACGGGGATGTAGAGTTTTCACCTGCCAAGGTCGTGGTGAGCAATCAGCCTGTCAAAGGAGAGCCAGGCACGGTCCCGGAAGCGAAGGAACCCAAGACAGGAATATTTTGGCTTGTGCTTGTGACAACAATAGCTTATGTTGTCGGCTGCAGTTTGCACATACAAAATCCCTTACAGCCGTAAGATACTCAATTTTGCATTTCAATTATAGCCTGTGCAGGTTTAATGTCAAGGACTGTAAAAAGCACCACTGAAAATGATGAGCCTCTTCTGAAACACGCCCGCAGGTTGAGATTCGATTCCTACTCTTACAATGCCTGTGCTCAGAAAGTGAGAACAACTAGTAGTGCAGTGAGTGTCTGTGGTGAAAGAGTCAGTGGGTGTTAATATCGAGCTTCCAGGAACGTTCTGTCAAAGAGGGCTCTTCGCAGTTAACTGAAGTCGGCGCTAGTGGGGCCCTTTGCAAGCCTCGTTGGTGTCCAACTCAGGACGCCAGTATGGTGTGGAGCAGATTATGCGTGAAGGAAGCAGATGTAGAAGCGATGGATCAGGAACCAGGGAAGTGGGATGTCAATAGAAGATTGTGTTGCTACTCGAAGCTGGGTTGAAGCGGGCAGATGCCCATCGCCAAGGAAAATATCCACACAAGGAGGGTTTTCTGCATCTTCAGTTGTCGGTGGCACGGAATTTTGAATTTCTTTTTAAACCCTTCGAATCTACTCGTTCGCAGCAACGAATGTGTCTTCTGTAAAGTAGAGAAATATTAAGAAGTGTAGGCAACCTTTTTGTAGCAGTACGTTTGAAGATTCTGTCCACTTTTGGAGGCTAAACCATCTAGGGACCGGATGAGAAAAAACTCTTAAGAGGTTCTCTGTATACTTGAGTACTTTGTAAATAAAGACCTGATGGTCTCGGTCCTCAAACGGTCACATATCTTCTGAGCAGAGAAGAGCTAATCAGCACTGGGATCCGCGTGTTGCTTTTGTCTCGTTATTAGCGTTTGGCCTTGCGCTCATAAGGTCTTTGACACATGGAGGATCAATGTCTCTGTTTTAAATTCGGATCGAATCTTGGAGTTTCGTCAGTTTGCCTGGCTTGCCTGGAGCCATGCATGCAGCCTCTGAGGCAATGACGCTCGGTTACAGCTTCTGGTACACTACAGTTACCGAAACAGTGCACGGGAGAAGAACTCTCTATCTGGAAAAGAAGGCAACTCGTCACAAGCAAGCGACCAAGTACGGAGGCGTTCTGTGAACTTGGATCTTAATCGTGCATGACACTGCCTCCGTCACAAAGCAGTTGCAGGATTCTTACTTCCGCACATAATCTTCATCGAAACCTGTCCACATTTGCTTTCTGTGTGTGATAGTATGCGGTGTATGCTCCCGGTATTTCAGTCCAGAGACGACTCCTATCATCAGGGTACATTCTCTGGGGTCGCTCGCAACCACCATATTGAAACCCACCAAAACGCAATGCCGAAAGTATCCCCCAAATGGACCTGTGACGGTCTCAACAGAACTGGTGGGAGTAAATCATTAATAGCCTTCCTTCACCGAGGATTTTCCTTCGGGGGACCCTGTCTTTCTACAGAATGGCTCTCGTCTTTGTACCGGGAATCGCAAGTGCGAGTGAGGTCCACCATGTCTCTCTAGGTGAGCCATTGTTGTTCTCCTTGAAGAAGTGAATAATTTAAGAAGCAATGTCGCTGTGGAGCAGTCGAGTCAAAAGAGCAGTCAACAATGCTAGCTATACCTCAATGCAGCCGACGCCTCAAATGTTAAAGACACACAGAAGCACGTGCGTCATTCTTTAGACTTTCATATGTTCATTACACTTTGAGCCAACCCTTGTGTAAGTAAATCATTTTGTCTGAAGGTCTCTGAACGTTACTCTGCTAATTCTGTTAATCATGGATAGCACAAATTCATTGTATATGTGGATACCTCTACCGAACCGCCACCGGGTTTGTGGGCCTCAACTGCGGTTCTTCTCCACTCGCATGCAGAATCGGAGATGTGCTTCGATGAGCGCATTCTGCAGAGCCTACGATTTAGCCCCGGCCTTATCAGCCATGTAAGCGTGACGTCGCCAACACTTGCAGTGCTTCTGAGTGTGTGGCTGCCGCTGCTGGGCCAAAGTGGAGAAACTTCCTCGTTGCACATGACTCATACACCTTATTGAGTGTACACAGCAAGGTAGTAGTTCTGCAGTAGGCGTGCTCCAAATACGCTGTTTTGTTCCAGACACACGACAGATTTATGCAGGGCTGTACTTCCATAAAGGCGAACATTGAGATCGCGTGCGTTGAGTTCCATGCAAGTAAAGACTCAACGTTTGTCTGTAATAGGCCATAACATGTTTTGAACGCGGAAATATGATGAGAAGGAAAGAAGGAAAGGAAGTGTTGAAGTAATGACAACATCCGAGGATCGTGCCTTCATGAGGGTGTTTTGCGCAATCAATAGAGATAGGTCTAGATGAGTATGTTCGGGGAATTGTATAAATCCAGCAGCCAGCAGGTCGTCGTCAAAGACAGAGAGGATGGACGAGACGTGGATGTCCAGAGTACTCTTCGAGATTCTTATGCCATGCTGATGTAGTGTGCGGCAAGAAGATATGAACTGTACGGTCCTGCAGCTCCTGCTGCTGATGATCTGCAGGCAGTTCTTCTTTGCCAGACTTTGCTGCTTTTCTGAATGTTTGGAGCTGTCGCTGATCTCTTGGAAACCTTTTTCATGCCATTTGCACTGGAAATGTTTCTTTAATTGCAGGCAGAGATTTCGATCCACTGCTATCTCACTGTACAACAGTCCAGACTAATCTAAATGCAAAAAGCACCTCCACCCCGCAGAGAGTAAAACTGCCGCGGAATTCACTCATCTCCAAGAAGTGATGGAGCAAGGTCTCACCGCCACATTTGTAATCCTGTCTCGAGAGGAAGCTCTCTTCCTGCCCTTGTGCTCCTCCCGCAGAGCACCGCAGCCCTCATGCTTCCAAAGCGATCTACCCGGTGGAGCTGCGGTGGGGACAACCGCTCCGGGCAAGCATGAGCTGAAGACGCATACGTCCGACAGACCCTCGGTTTCTGGCACACTGCTCTGGCTGCTCTCGTCTGCTCTGCACAGGCAGACAGCGAGCCAGAAGTTCAGAACCAGAGAGGGTAGACGGGCGACTGAGGCAAAGCGCGATCAACAGACCACCACAGCAAACAGTGCCTAGGGCGTTGATGTAAAGGCACGACAATGCATTAACTTAAGCCAAAAGGCCCGCAAACGCCCTGCTTCCGCCAGGGGCAGGTATCGGGGTACGAACCTGGATGCTGGAGAGGCGGGTAACTTGCTCCTCCTCCAGGGGCTGCTGCATTCTTGATTGGTATTGGCCCAAGACTAATCGAGTAGCGCAGTGAAACCGCCATCTTTCTATAGAGCTTATACGTGCAGACAAGAACTCTGATTGGTCAGTCCCTCGCAATCTTGGACAATTTGGTGCCTATCTTACACCAAGAGCTGCCGCCAGAAGAGGGCAGCCTTCGTTGGTGAGTTCCGGGCTCCGAATCCGGAGGCCAGAGAAGGAAATCAAAGTGTAGGGGAGCAGGGGAAGTAGGAGAGATCTAGAACAAGAGGCAGAGGGGCGAGGACGAGGCGCTGTGCTGTGCTGTAATGCACTGCACTGCACCGGATGACGACGGCGCTGCTTGGAGTCGGAGATTTGAAAATGTTGCCAACCGACAGAGCTAGAGGAGCGAGACAAGTAGAGGGCTTGGAGCACGGCGGGTGGATCCCGGGGCCGGACGCCGGCGTCCGGGGTCCCGGGAGGATGTAAAGGTCTGCGATGGACAGTCAGGATGGCCACGAGCTCTGAAGCGCAGCCACAGCTCGATCGTATCTGGAGTCTGGGCCTTGGAACGGGAGCATCAAGTAGTGCTCGCTGGTGCTGGTGACGGGAGGGGAAGACTTTATATCCCGCGCATTTATGGCCGTTTCAGTCAAAACCTTCCACCCCACCCGCGGGGATCCATAATGAGTTGCCGTATAAAGATGGCCGAGGTACTTTTGGCCCCTAGCTCTGAGATGGGGAGAGTTCTGGTAACTGCGGCGAGCTTCGTCGGATCGACGAATGGGGAGCATCTGACCCGTCCGCCAGCTTCTGTACTGAATCTGCAGGCCGCAGCTTGCAGTCTGTGGCGAGAAGGCATCATGGACACTTGGGAGTCTCATGATCAGTTGTAGCCAGAGCTCATGATACGCCATTCATTACTGTGGGCTGTCCGGGTGTGAAGCTTGAAGGGAAGAACACCGACTCTTACTCACGGTATGTCTCTTATAGTAAATGGCGCATGCTTTCACTTATTGGGTGTATGAAATACAGGCGTGAAGTTGCACCTCGCAGCTTCTGCTTCATTATCGTCCAGCTGCCGCTGCCACTCTGCCGAGCCTCCCATCAGAGTCTTGGACCCCTCCCATCGCCCTGCTCTCCCGCTCATGGTGCCGCTCCCCACCATCAGGTCCCGAGAATGAGGAGCTTCTTGTCCTGCTGCTGTTGTGCAGCGTAAAACATCTCATGCTTGTCGACTCCATCGCCGGCTCTTCTGGAAGGCCGAGCCGTTCCTTAGGATACCACCCTCCTGATTTACCTCGTTCAACCAGTCCTTTTTATTTGCGACCCCAGCATTCCGCTGTGCTGCTCTGCATTGCTGCCGCCCACTCGCCCATCGTCGGTGCCGCTAGGTCTGGTTGTCTTGGCCCCTTGTCTTGCATTGTCCAGCAATCCATTGTTCTCCCAGAGGTGCGGACTATCATCCGGGTGAGCCGTCGACCGTCCGTCCGGCCCAAGGCTCTGGAACTGCAAAATGGACGAGGACATGGACAGCAAGAAGAATGGGGACAGTAGAAGGAGTAGTAACGGGACAGCCCACCAGGTTTCTGACGCAGAATCGGACGAACAGTATGAAGCGCAATTTGAAACTCTGGAAGAGGAGAGGCTGGTCAAACTCATGAGAGCTTCCGTTGTGAAGTTGGAACCTGAATTGAAGGTGTTTCTCGAGCTCTGAACTCCGTCTTCGCGCCTGCTGCTTTCAGACGTGTATCAGAAGATAGACCTGAAAATGGCTGCCGTCATTAACACCGTGTCCGAGAAGCAAGGAAATTATTGATGGGGACATGCCTTGTGCAATTGCATCTTCGTACATAGTTCTTGAGTGTCTCCCTCGGCGAGTCGTAATTACCAAAAGCAAGAACTAGCAGGAATGGCAAGAAACAAGCTAGGAACATTACTGTCTTTTACAAGGAGATTTGAGACTTTTTTTCATCGCTTGTATCGCTTTCTCTTGGAAATGACAGGGATTCTTGGTCGCAAGGCAGTCACCGATCCGCATGCAAACATTGTTTGTAAGTGGTTGCTGCTCGTGAGTCCGGTACTGTGCTGGAATACTGTGCTGATTGTGCATAGTTTGTGTTGTAGGATGTTGACGATGCAACGCTCAGACGGTTTCTCCGAGCGAGGCAAAAAAAGGTGGACAAGGCAACCAAAATGTTTGTGGACCATTTTCGGTGGCGTCGCACATTCGTGCCTCTTGGTTACATTCCAGAGGAGGAAGTACAGAATGAGCTCGACGCCGAGAAAGTTTTTCTTCAAGGGAACGACAAAGCCGGTCGTCCTATTGGTTTAATCATAGCAGCAAAGCACGACGCCTACAAGCGAAATCTTAACGAGTTCAAACGTATGTTATATCTTCCTGATACGCCGATCGTACCTTCATACCAAGCAGATGCATCCTCTCTCCTGGACCTGACGGTAGGAGTAGATCCATCTGACGTATAACAGGCACCTGACCCTCCAGTCTACAAGTGCAGTGCAGATTATGCTGTGAAATGTAGGTGTTTGTTAAAGGGACGAACCTTAGATGTCTCCCCAGTGGTTGGACTTTCTGCAAAGTTCGCTGAAGGATTCGCTGTCTTCTTTTTACAGGATATTGCGTATATAACTTCGACAAATGTGTTGCCAGGTGAGCTCCTACCTGGACATAAACCCGACTTCTTTGTGATGTCAAAGGTCCTGTATCAAATCTTAGATTAGCTTTACGGGCGCTAGGTTCGGTGGAAACCAGAACGTCACTAGTTCAACCTCCAATGCATGTAGTGCTGATGGTTTTGATATTTACTCGTCTAGAGATTCACAACAGAGCTTATTTGTCTAGCAAACATACTGTGGCTGTAGAGAACATTATGTTCCAAGGCAGGACTGTCAATTGATAATTCGAATGTGCCAGTAGGGGTTAGTTCAAAAAAGAAAGGTTCTGGTTTTATTTTTCCAAAAATTTATGAACACAAATAGACTAAACGAAACTTGGCTCCATCAATGTCCACAGCATGGCTCCCGGGGAGGAGAAATTCACGATTATTGTCGACTTACAAGGTCTCGGATACAAGAATCTTGATCCCCGTGGCTGGACCTGCATATTCGATTTCTTACAGGTATGTGGAAAACGACCTGCTAAATTTGTCGATCTGTGCACAATGACGAAGCAACTTTACAAGATCCTCTCAATTTGGAGGGTTGTGGGGTTGTGTCACAGCTTACACCGGCGAGTTTTCAGCAGCCTCGAACGCTGTGCTACCTGCTTTTAAGCCTTGTATTATTTTATAGAGAACTCGGGGCAGCCCATCTAAACAAGACTGAATGTGCAACAAACGTTATCTGTGTTATTTCAGACTTTACAAGTCCCTCATTGTACGTCCGTAGAACCTGTCAATCCCTTAGACAAATGTCATGAACACTAATGCAGCGATTTCGCTAAGGATGGATGTGTTATCCTTATCCTCAAGCTTAGACATAGTAAATGGTAAATAGATCAAGCCCGTGAGACCCAAAGGGTCAAAAGGCTAAAAAACACAATACAAACTTGTTAGTGCTAGGGCCTCTTTAGTGATCGGATAAGCACATTCCTCAATCTTCGAGTCGCTTTCAAGCTTCCTGTAATGCCCGTAATAGTGGCCTGCAAAACTCTCGTTCCTGGGCGCAACGGATCTGCGCCAAACGATAATTTGGTGTTCCAGATGTGACAAGTCTTTCTCAGTACGTCTCTAGAACCTGTCACGGGCGTACATACTGTCATCGAAAAATTTGATGCAGCATGGATAAAATAGCATATTACGTAACTTGCTCAATCCTGGTCTAGAGTCTCAAGACGTGGGACATATACCTTCTTCGCTTCTCTTTGAGTCGCACTTATAGTCTTCTCGTTGTATCGTTTATAGCAAGGAGTGGCTCCGCTCTCTTTACGGCCCTCGATGCTGTAACATTTATGCCTGATTTTATCGTTTTCGAGTCGTACCTAGGGTCTCTTGTTTTGTGCGATGAACGTCATTGCTCAAGTCATATTAGCTATGAAATAAAGTACTCTTCAGAAAGTCTGCACATGAGCATATGTATACTACTGCAAGATGCAGTTTTGCTGAGGAGTAGGTGCAGTATTTATGACCAATTTATTAATGACTTTGCTTTTGCAGGGCCATTATCCAGAACGAATAAGAAGAATTTTCATGATTCATGTCCCGTATATTTTCTATGGTGCTTGGAAGCTCGTCAGTCCATTCATTGACAAGGTCACCAGGGATAAGGTAGGCCAGCGTCTTTGTCATCACAATCCAATTCCTGAGACATTCGGTACGATATTTCAGCTCTTTTGGGTTGTAACGTAATCGCTAGACGAGCATGTACCTGCAGTGCTTCGGATTGTGTTCTGTGATCTGGTGGATCGTAAGGATTGGGGATCAATTCTTAAGGATCGCAATGGACTTATAATTCATGTTCGAGGTTTTAGTTCTTGTAGGTGAACATTCGATCGTTTTGGTTAACGTTTCGGCAAGTAGGGGTGACACTCGCCACTTTCTATGTGTGCAGATAGTGTTTGTCGGTGATAAAGTTTTACTGGAAACTCTTTTGGAGGAAATCGATGTCGATCAGCTGCCAAAAGTCTACGGTGGACGAAAAGAGTTAGTACCGATACAGTTCGCGGTTACACCGAACTGGCCTCCGAAACATATGGAAGCGTCTCAGACTTCTTGAAGGTGTCTATAGACTTAAGGGATAGCACTTAGATAGCGCTTTACACGCAGCGGCACAGGTGTAGTTACTGTAGATCTACGAGTTTCATCTTAGTCATCAAGAGCAGCTATGTATCTGTGTATATTTACATTGATTGCCGATTCTTCCAGCTTAGGTCATTTGTACGTTCTAACTTGCTCTTATGATACCTATAACCAATAACTTTTGCACTCTTTCACGCTTATTTTCGTCGCCGACTGTTCCAGACTTGCCTGTTTATTGTTGCGAATGAAAGCGCATAAATTGAGCCCGAAGAGAATTTTGTCCTCCGGTTGGCATGCATTGTGTTCTTCGATCGTACCTAAAAGTTTATCGCTACGTTCGTCTGGTTGTCCGGGTTATGTGAGCTTGCAAATGAAGATTTGAACGGCTGCCCAGATTGTGCGCAAATCTGGGACAAGTTTTCAATCCTGAGGTGGGGTTCCTTCGAAGGGAATTAAATATATATGAAGATCACCTGCTTTTGCTCGTAAGCCGGATGTCCCGTGATTCTGTAAATCCTACGCCCACTTACCCTGGAACATCATCTCGGGCCCCATCACAAGATGTGACATGAATGACCTTCGCGGACTCCGCCGGCTGTCCTTTGAGATTCCTTGCGAAGTTGAAGCTCTGGCAGTTGATAATAATCAAGAAGATCACCATTATACTAAAATTTTTAAAGTTTTCATCTCGCAGAGAGCACTGTCCTAATTTCCTCCTCGAGCTTGTTTCCTCCTTGATTTGATCCTCTACATTGAAGCGTGACAACGGGTTTACTGTCGTTTAGGGCACAAAATAGCCACGTCTTCAGTTGTACCTGTCTCGCTAAATTGTTCGACGGCTGGTCTTTCTTGTGCAACTCTCTACTACAAGAGGTAACCGGAAACCAATCTCTCCGCCATATCGATGCTCACTTTTCCATGCTGTTGATGAAAACATGGTGACATCAAGGTTCTTATCCGGCAATAGAGATAGTACTCTCAGTGAATGTTGCACACTATCCTTTCTGAATCTGACAGTATCTGAATAGCACAAACGTGAACATGGCATTCTACCTGTCCATAAGAAGTATGCAAAGTTTCAGATCCCTAGGATCCGGTACTTAAAGGTGTGACTTTTAGCATTCGAATTGTTCGGACAGCCGAACTGGGAATTGCAGTCGTTGCATTTTTTGTTCCGTTCATATGTTAATCGCACATGGCACTCCAGCCCATTCGGCCTCGAAGCCTCGAAAGCTCTCGCATAGATCAGCAGAGCACAATGAGCAAGATTGCCTTCGTCGAAGGACTGAGTTTTACGTCTCATTTCAGAAGAGCAGGTGTTTCTATTCAAAAGTATCTTCTTCTCATTCGTGTCAGTTGCGTAAGGCAATTGCATACCGAGTCCCCGCCTCGATTGCCAGGTGACCCAAAGGCCTCCTCTCAAATCGGCCTTTGCAAACTCTACAAACTACCCGCAACGAATCCACGTACTACTGTCCAACCATTAGCGCTACAACAAGCCATATTGCTAACTGATTCAACCATTATCCTTTCAAAGGTTGTCGCTTTCCGTAATTTCATACAGTAAGAGCTAACATTCCCCTCGAATGAAGCCTGTAGTGAGGAAGACCCAACACCCAATGTATGACATCACGACTTAAAAATGCCCCAGTAAAGGTATTTACTGAATTATGTACAATTAACATCTCTTTTCCGTGAACACTACCAGGGCCGTGGCCTAGTCGTACTCAATAGTTCGACTGAAATCGGACGGCAAAAAAATTTGTCCCATGCTACATTTTCTATCCATTATGGAAAGCTTACAGCGTCTCATGAGTAATATCATGCGCCACAATCGGTAGCATAAAAAGACGATCATGTGGCAGGATCTTCCTCTAGGCACATAATTGTGGAACTGCTGAAAATTATTTACACAGGATAAACAACAGAACGTTCAATAGCTCGAAGCTGCAAAGCGAAATTGCCTCCACAAATATGTTGTGTGAAGTCTGATTGCCTGACTTGCCTCATTCCACCATCCGAAGAGATCTCAGCCAGCACATAAGATTGATCGATGTTTTCGATTCAAAACAAAATGCATTGATTGCAATCGCATAACGGTCCTCCTGACTAATGACACTTTCCCATATGCGAAAAGTACATGAGCTGATATCCTCATCGCAGCCAGACGTTAACAATTGACAACTGTTTGTTTGTACTCTCAACCCACACTTGGTCTGTCGTTCAGACTAAGGGAGAAAGTAGTAAATTAAGAACCTATTTTTGCAACAAATTTCCATTATCCGAAGCTGTATCTACAGTGACTTCCGTGCCAGAAAAACACAAGGGAGGAGTATCACAATCATACCAGTACCCAATTATCCTGTATGCAGTGCAACTCCTGCAACACCTGTTTCATAACAGGTCTGTCCTCTAAGCTCAGAGTCAGACACTTGAGAGCCAATGTTGTAATATCCAGTGCCTGTTCAATGCAATCTGGTTCACTTTCTTTCAATTTTGGATCAAGGAAAGATTCAAACCTTCCCTTGGTAACTCTGTCGATGGCCACATAAACTATAGACCACTCACCTTCGGGTCTACTCATATCCAACACTCGCATTCCTGCAACAAGCTCCAAAAGAACAATGCCAAAGCTGTACACGTCGCTCTTCTCGGTGAGATGAAACGTTTGTAGGTAGCAAGGATCCACGTACCCGTGGGTTCCTTGAGGAGTTGTGGTTATGTGAGTAGCAACGAAGTTGAGTGTCTGGACAAACTTGGATAGACCGAAGTCCGCAATCTTTGCATTTAAGTCATGGTCCAGAAGAATGTTGTTCGACTTCACGTCTCGATGATAAACCGGTGAACTGCCACAGCTGTGCAGATGCGTGATGGCTTCTGCAGTTCCTATAGCTATTGACATCCTGTTCTCCCATGTCAGCGTTTTCTTCATCTCCCCGCACAAATGCTGCATCAGATTTCCGTTTGGAATGTACTCATATACTAACAAAGGATCCCTCTGTTCCAAACAACATCCCAAAAGTTTCACCAGATTCGGATGTCTGAACTGGGACAAAATTTCTACTTCGTTGTGCGCCTGCTGCATAGCCTCCTTACTGGCACCCTTTAATTTCTTCACAGCAACCACCTGGTTCCCAGGCAGATGGGCCATATATACAACACCAAATCCCCCTTCTCCGACAATATGACGAGGAGCAAAGTCATCGGTTGCAGTTGCAAGCTCCCTGCCCGAAAAACGTATGAAAGGTACTGCCTTGGCCTTTTTCAGCATCCGATACCACCCCCGTACTGTACCAAAAAAGAAATATTTGTCAACACACTTTGCCCATACTGCACAAAACAGGCACAGACAAAAAGCTTCCTCCACAGTTTTGAACCATTTGAGACAACGAACATTATGATTTTAGGACCAAAAGACAGACCCTCTTTCCTCTCAAGAATTCCTCATACTCATCCTCCTTATATGTCTAGCACCGCCTACTGAGGCCTTCAGGCCATGACACGCTGTACCGACGAGTATAAAGTTTGGTACAAAAATCCTCGGAAAGGACAAATTATACGAGAGAAGCACACTCTAGTGAGTCTTCAGAGTAATTTCACAAGGTCGAATGGCAAAACAAAGTCGTTTGCTACAGATCACACCTTCGGGACTCTGACTCCATAAGCGGAGAGTAGCGAGTTTTAGCCCAACTGAAAACAATTTGCTACGCTGCCTTATACAGCGAATATTGGCGCATGGAAGATACGGTATTTCATAATTACATTGTGGATGCGAGAAAAGTTGCGCTCGTAAAATTCGCACTTCCAGCATGACCTAGTAACCAATGCTTGTCTAGTCTGTAAGATAAATTCCGCAAGGAGATTCAACACAATACATCCACTCCTCTCCTCCTTGGATCCACTGACTGCATGTCATTTTCCTCGTCTTATTGAAAGAACCTCCACAAGGGACTTTCATATTGGAACTCACCTGCTTGAATGACTGCCCCGTTATTGGTGACGTATTCTCGGTAAAATCCAGTCATAAATTCTTCCCAGCTCACCCCATTGAGAAACTGTGTTGCCCAACCGTAGGCGTTGACGAACATATGATCCACGGCAATTAACAGCGTTTGGTCCTGGGACAAACCCTCCTGCACAGCCCATTTACAATATACTCTCATCCACTCGTGCGCTCGCTTCGGATTTCCTCTGTCCCCGTCGAATAGAGGAACCACCTTCTCCTTGTTCGTCGCTCCCACGTACAAGCAACGTCCGAATCTGCTCGCGAGGTTCCGTCTTACGGTTTCATGCAATGCAAACCGTGGCATCTTCTCAAGTATCGAGCAAAAGACTAGCGAAAAATAGAAAGCACCCAATTCTCAATGAAGCTCAGATTGCACTCTCGACCACCACCAGCATCATGCACGCCCAAAATCAACACTCGCTCGGCTGCCACCGCCGTCTCGGACTGCTGCATCCTCTTCCTCCTCCTCGAAGTATGACTCTCAACCAGATGAAAGGGAACTCAATCAAACAACACCGAGTCCCACATTCCACGATGTCGAAGCACCCGCTGCGTTCGTGCGGCAACACCCAGGCATTCCACACAACATCACTCAAGTCCTCTCTTCGCCTTGACGTGTACTCATGAAATACGAAAACAGAGCCAATCGAAAAGAGCTCGGTGCACTCCAGACCTTACACTTGAAGTGCAGCTCCTATCCGAAGTCCACCCCTGGCAGCTAGAGCTTCGCTGCAGTACCAAGCCCACCTCCTGCAGTGTTTCCCTCGGCTATTCCTGGAATGTGGTGAAAGTGGGCCCCACACATGGCTCCCTTGCTTCGTATCAGAAGAAGAGGTTATCCTCCCAACTCCGGCTTCGGGTGTTGAAGTGTCCACGAAGGTTGGAGAGCGAGAGCGGCGACGCCCAGAACAGATTTCTCCGAACGGTGATGGTCCCCAGCGGGGTTTCTCGCGTCTCCGGAGAGGAACAATGTACAGCATTGGTGTGATCTTCCATCCGCATTCCATGTTTGGTTGATTCAACAATGTCCGGGATTACACTTGCAATCTTAGAACTACTCAATTCCTACAAGAAGAAACATCTCATCTTACAGAAGAATTGAAATGCCACTTGATTCTTTCATCATAACTTGTACATCATACACCGGAGTAACTGCTCTAAAAGCAGAGATCTAAAACATATACATTTATATCTCTGTATAAGAATTGGCGAAAGCCATATAACATCAATATTTTTTATAACAATAAATGGGTTTATTGGATAATGTTTTGATTTATGATTCAGCTCATGTTGCTGATTTACAATATGCCCTTTAAGAGTAATATTTACTGATGTGGCGTGTACATAGATTTGACTTTAGAGGAATCCTAGCTAAATCTCTATCTATCGTACCGTTCCTCTTTGAGTAATCTATACTGCCATGGGGTCGGGCTGGTTTCCTTTGACCTTTTTGGTCTTGGATTTGGTTTGGGTTATGCTTCTAAATAATTCTAAATATTTTTTTTGCAAAAGCATAAATCGAACGAAACATTTTTTGATAAGTAATAGCACTAGAATCCACATTTTGCAACACGTAGATTTCCACATAATTCTCTTCACTGCAAGGTTTGCGATTTGGAATAAATTGGCGTTCAAATTTGTATATTTCTACTTGGAACTCAAAATCCATGAACATTTGAGCCATAAACTGCAAAGTCTAGACCACAATAAACCATTCACCTGTTCATCACACATGAAAGATACCCCATGTAAAAGATGGAGTGTGCATGAAGCTTCTTATGATGCTCTATCTCCATAATATCACGATATTAAATCCTAAGCATACTCTCGATCTGCGGACAGAACACTTAAAATTGAGGATTTATTGAATATCGTTAAACATTACTGATCATCCGATTAATTTCATTTCATTTTTATATGATTTTCTCATCAAGATTCAATTACCTTGTCGTATATATATTATATAATTTAGACTCGATATTTGTAACATTACTAAGTGATATTATCAAATGTCCAACTAACAATTCATCGGTTACGATAGTAACGCATATACAACAAGTTCAATCTTATTATCTGTATTTTTATTCGAATACATTCTAATGTGCTGGCGGACCAGGTAGCCGAGCACTTAGAGAAATAAATTTTCCAAGTGTTGAGAGAGACAGTGTGCTGGCCGAACACTTGGGGATCAGCTGTGAGCGAGCATCTTCGACTCATCGTCCTTGTTTCCGGACTTAAGAGTCTAGCTTCGATCATAAATTGGGTTCTATGTCACTATACCCGAAGTTTCTGTTCACAACTACATGGAATTATGTGGTTTCCTCACATCCATTTAACAAAATGCCCACTATGCCAATTCACTGATTATTCAGTTTTGAGTTTTGGAAAATCAACCGCAACTCGATTGTATCGCAACGATCCGAATCTCGAATGATTAAAATTGAGTAAAATGATAATTTGTACAAGATTAGTAGATTATTCACAGACTATGTATTTAAACTAATTAAGAGATACATTTGTACATATCCGATCCAGAAGTTCTTTCGTAGATTGAAACTCGATGAATGTGGAAAGTGAGATGTTGGAAAGCAGCGGAGGCAGGAAAACTCCATATTGAGAGTGATGGGATAAGCAAGTGGATAGCAAAAAAATGAAAAACTCCGCATACACGATTGTACATATCGACACAATTTATTCCTAAAATCTAACCTTGACCCTTACAAGCTAATGTATAGTCACTCTCCACCTACTTATCAACTTGAATAGTGGTGAATCTCATATACTTTATTTGTAAACCTCGACATGAATGTAAACCAAGAGTACAATGAGATCAAGAGGAATTATCTCATTACGGGTTACCAAACTCAAACCACGACGTGAACAACTCACGCGTTAATTACAATATCAATAATCTAAGAAGGTCCTTTTCTTGACATTGGAAGCCCATTCATATGAACCTCAATGAAGGGTCTAAACACACAGTCATGAACTTTGTAGTTTTCTAGAACTAGAACTGGAGGACAAGCAGGAACGGGAGAGTTTACTTGAACCCGGACCTCCTCGGCACAGAAGCTTTGTCCAGAGAACTTCTCTATCTACCATATTGTGGACCTAAATTTCTTAGTATTCCAGATTTATGGTAGAAGAAGACGTTTATTGAATGTGACTTCTTCACTTAAGTAGAGTTTTTATACCCCTGTCTGTCTGAATTTTCCTCAAACTCAGACATCTAAGAGCCACGTTATGTACTAAATATTAGTTGAAATAAGTAATGTCCATTCTCTATAGATTTCTCTTCTCTGCAGAAATGACATCTGCATGCAAGGAAAGCAATACAACCAGAACCTTGCAAGAGAAAATTCTGACTATTCAGCTGGATTCATTTCATTCCAGCAGATGAGTCGAAAAGCGCTACAATTTAGTGGGCCGTTTAAGTTGGAGACGGCAGGAAATGCACTCTGTTGTGACGCACCAAAGAACCGGGAAGCAATGCTTATCGTATATTCACCAGAAATGCTCAGGTGGCAGGGAAGTGCAACCAGACCAGAGCACCCTTAGACAGAAACAGATGTAGTGGAATCGTGTGCAGTGGTCTCGGTGTCTTTTGTTTTGAGTGGACACTGAATCGACCAAATCGCGCTTTCTTGCTGTTTGTAACAAGGGTTGCTCTCCGAATTGATATAGTAAATGGCCGTTTGGCTAGTATTGAGGAGCTTGGAGAAGAAGGAACAGCAGCCAGAGGGCAGAGGAAATTCCGAGTCTAAGGCATTTGTGCTGCTTCCTCGTGTGGGGATAGATACAGGGTTGTGGTCTCGACGACTTTGAATCTGGAGAGAGAGACTCTTTGTTGTTTGTTTGTGCGTGAGGAATTTTGAAAGGATGGAGGCGATGGTGGAGTTGCAGAGAGAGTCAGGGACTTTGCAGGATGAAAGTAGCAAGAAGAAGAAAAAACCCGCTCCAGGACGAGGGGGTGTGATTGCGCATCTCAGTGAGGATGAAGCTCGTGTTCGAGCTATCGCCGAGATTGTGAATGGGATGATTGAAGGCTGTCGCAAGGGAGACGATGTGGATTTGAATGCCCTCAAGGCGGCTGCCTGTCGCCGATATGGGCTGGCAAGGGCCCCGAAGCTTGTGGAGATGATCGCTGCCCTGCCTGATAGTGAGAGGGATTTGGTTCTGCCCAGACTTCGAGCAAAACCTGTTCGCACCGCTTCAGGAATTGCGGTCGTAGCTGTTATGTCTAAGCCCCACCGGTGTCCTCACATTGCGACCACAGGAAATATTTGCGTGTATTGTCCGGGGGGTCCTGATTCAGATTTTGAGTACAGTACTCAGTCTTACACAGGGTATGAGCCCACAAGTATGAGGGCCATCCGAGCAAGGTATGATAATCTCTTCTTATTTCAACATCCTCCACCCACTATGCCGAGGCTACTTTGCACTTGCCCAAATTGCATAGCTGTTAGTGAACTCTAACCTGTCTTTCATTGTCATTTCACTTATATTTACAGATACAATCCTTATGTACAAGCAAGGGGTCGAATCGATCAGCTCAAGAGGCTGGGTCACAGCGTTGATAAGGTCAGAAGTTAGCCTTGAAATTCTTGTGTGCGCCAGTAGAGCTTACGTAGTGTAAGGAAAAAGTTGAAGGTTGTTGATTGCTCACTTTTCATTGTGCAGGTAGAGTTCATCCTTATGGGGGGGACTTTTATGTCCCTGGCGGCGGATTATCGTGACTATTTTATTCGGAATCTACATGATGCTTTATCAGGACACACCTCTCGAAACATTGAAGAAGCTGTGATGTACTCTGAGCATGGTGCCGTGAAATGCATAGGGCTGACAATTGAAACGTAATTTTCTACCCTTACCTGATATGGCATCATCTCTTCTAGGTCTATTTCTCAGGGGCTGGTGGTAGTGATTGGGCTCATATACAGAGGCCTCTGTTTCCATTAGAACAAAGTATAGCAGCTTTCATTTTTAATATATACCTTTTCATTTGGTATGACGTTATTGCAGACGTCCAGATTACTGCCTTGCTCCTCATTTACGACAAATGCTTTCTTACGGTTGCACTCGACTGGAAATTGGAGTACAGAGTACATATGAAGATGTAGCTCGGGACACCAATCGTGGACATACAGTGGCAGCTGTGGCCGATTGCTTCTGTCTTGCAAAAGACGCAGGTTTTAAGGTTAGCTGTCTTCTTTTGGTTGCGGAGTGCTAGGAATCTTTCCTTCCATGCATCAAATGTTTCTCAGTGCTCGTAACTTGACTTTCATCCTTCCTGCGTAGGTATACTCTTTAAGTACCTGGATTCTACCAATCATAGTAATCTTAATGTGATTTGTGATTCATTTCGAAAATTATTCTGTAGTAAGGGTCTCTTTTGAATGTGAAAGCCAGACTTTTGGATTCAGATTGACCTCTACTAAGTCTAAGTTTGCGAGATAATTGTAACTCATTTCAAGGCGTCTGCAGCAACACCAGTTACCACCACCTCACGGACTTATTTAATATTGATCTTAGACATCTTTCATAAAGTTTTATGATGTTTTTTTCAATCTTCACAGGTTGTCGCACATATGATGCCTGACCTTCCAAATGTGGGGATGGAGAGGGATATGGACAGTTTTCGAGAATTTTTCGAGAATCCAGCCTTCCGCACAGATGGCCTGAAAATATATCCGACACTTGTGATTCGTGGCACAGGTCTCTACGAGTTGTGGAAAACGGGAAAGTAAGTGCTAAAGTGCTACCAGAGACTTCGCAAATTCCTTCAACTCTATTCTTCTGCAGCGTAGTTTTAAAAAAATTGATTTTTCTTTGTAGGCTGTAAGATCGTCTGAATTATCAATCTCTCTTCACCAGATACAAAAATTACCCTCCAGAGCAGTTGGTGGATCTAGTTGCAAGAGTGTTGGCGTTGGTGCCACCATGGACTAGAGTGTACCGCATTCAGAGGGACATTCCCATGCCACTTGTGACATCAGGAGTAGAGAAGGGCAACCTGCGTGAGTTAGCCCTTGCTCGTATGGATGATTTGGGACTGAAGTGTCGTGATGTCAGAACAAGAGAAGCAGGAATACAGGTGAGCAAGAGAATGAAATTTTATGAGGTCCACTTATTGAATGTTTCTGTTTCGTTTTCCAGTATCCTGTCCTAAACAATTAATAATTAAATTTTGGTAGAATAGCATTAGATGGGCACATATTGTCCAGAGATAAACAATCATCTTTTGCTTTGATTTCATGAAATAATAGAGTGCATAGTGATTCCAGCAGAATTGTTAGCTTTACAACTGGCTTATGTCGATTTCTGCTGATTCAAAACTTGGGGATGAAGTTTAGTTCGAGATTTCTAATTTATTGTGAGAGTATGAGGTACTTTTTAGTATTGTGTAAAGCAATGACTGCTTTCGCCCTTCATACATCGTGCAACTTTTAAATCTACATTCAGATTATGAGACCGACGAGTTACCAATCACCTGAGATGGAATGTCCTGGTGGTACCCCACCGCACTTGTAGCCGTCAGCCCAACAGTAGGATCAGCTTGATTCGTAATTAGGAACCTAAGAGTCCTTCAGTTTAAGATGTATATAAGGCTGTTTGGAGGGTCGTTATTTGCATTGCGTTTACATTAGCGGAATAACTGAGTGAAATCGTTGAGATTATAATTCCAGTTATGGCTTCCTTGTTTGTTATTTGATCTACTGTATCCTCACTAAATGTTTTTACCTCTAACTATGATTTGTGGATCGATTTTGTCAAATATTCTACGCCTATATACTGCAAAAGTCTCGATTGTGCCTAGAGTCTCGGAAGTATCTGCTTTGAACTAGTAGATCAACCATGTATTTAGGACCTAGGGTGTGGACGCTTCTCTCGTTATCTCGCGACTGTTGTTTCTTTTTGCGGAGGAAGGATCAGAAATTGAACGAATGTCCACAGTACTCATAGGGAGTATGAGCTTGAGATGAGCAATAGCAGGAACTAACTCCAAGGTGGTTGTGCTTGTAAAGGATATACATCATCAAATTAAACCCGAAGAAGTTGAACTTGTAAGGCGTGACTATGTTGCTAATCAAGGTTGGGAGACATTTCTCGCGTACGAAGACACACAACAGGTGAGTCTTCTATCTCTCTAAGATGTGATCCAAGACAATTAGTAGTATCCTTCAAATTTGCCATCCCTTTGTTATTTCAGGACCAGATTGTTATCTTATTGGCTCTGATATGTGATATTTGACATACAGGACAAACAGCATTGTCTCCCATTCACTTAAGTTTGAGCATGCCCTGTGTCACAACGATTGATAGAAGAATTATATTAGGTGCTCATCACCAGTAAATATACTAAATACACACAATGAATGTTAATAACTGAAGTCTTTAATCTGTAGGATATTTTGGTTGGCCTGCTGAGGCTCCGCAAGTGTGGACGGAACACAACATGTCCAGAGTTGATGGGAAGATGTTCTGTCGTTCGTGAGTTACATGTGTATGGAACTGCTGTACCTGTGCATGGAAGGGATGCAGACAAGCTCCAGCACCAGGTATATGATACTAAGGGTTTTGTTTCAAGTATTGGTGTTTATGTGCATCTGATTAGGACCGTGTTTGGAAAACATGCATTAGTGTAGGTTGGATTTATTTGTTCTTTTCATCTCACACGTTTATCTGATTGTGAGCGTTATTGTTATTCGTAAGTGATCGTCCAATTTAATCTGGATGGAATGTTCCGTGTTGCAGGGATATGGAACGCTGTTAATGGAGGAGGCTGAAAGAATATCTATCAAAGAGCACAAGTCAACTAAGCTAGCTGTTATATCGGGGGTGGGAACTCGTCATTACTACAGGAAGTTAGGTTATGAGCTGGAAGGACCTTACATGGTCAAATATTTTAACACCTGAAATGAAAAAAAGTGTTTTATTTGCCGTCCAGATACTGGAATTCTGTATGATCTCACGTGGAATTGAAACATACCGTCATTCTCAAACTGGAGATGTCACACGCTTATTTTCAGTATCTACAGTTCTTTGTTAACTTGATGTTCAGCAAAATATTCCCAAGGCATATAATATTCCATGGACCTTGTGATCACCAGTATATGTTCTGGCAACGGTCGCTGACAAGTAGCTTTGATAGTCGCTGCATAGTGGACACCAACAGATACGCACATATACCCTAACCTTCTAAACCCTGACAAGGAATGAAAAGATTCTACATCAATGAAGACCACTTTGAGGCCACAACCAACAGTAATCAGATGAAGAAACCCATCGTCACCAACGATATCAACCCCACTTTTCTAACCAGGTTTAGAATGTATGAAAATTTCATATTAGCCGACCGTGGTCAGGACAGATGTCTGAACGCTAGCCAAATATTCCCACGCACTTGCTTCGAGAATGGACATGTGAGGTCGACGACATCTACCGCAGTGAGTCAGAGTGTCCACGACGTGAAAGAAGTCGCGACGTGTACTCCAGTGACATGAAATGGTTCCGGTGCGCATAGGCTAATGTACTGTGTAGGTTTGCGGTATCGGGCAGGCCGGGAAACCCTAAGAATTACTGCCCGCTTCAACAAGAAACGGTGCGGTCATTTTTTTAGAAAGGACCACAGTAGCGTAAGGCTCACGTCGGGGTAATATCCGCAGTACTGTGGTAATTTAAAGTAAGTCGACGCGGTAAGCGTGTGGTAATGAGGGGTTCTTGGACGTGAAGAAAGTGTGGAGGATGGCTCTGGTCGGCGGAACTAGGGTTTGGTATATAGACTGAGGAAGAATCGCTTGGAGGCCTCTTTGAGTGTGCGAGTTCTCGTCTATCACTCGTCGTCCTCCTTCGCCTTCAGCACCTTCGTTTAATTGCATTGCGGCAGGTGCTCATTTGCAAACGAAAATCGTAAATCATGGTATTGTTCTCGTGTCAATTTCTTCTCCACATCCGTCCAATTTCCATGATTGTCATGTGTCTCTGCTTTCTTTCGATTGTGTGTGGTGCCTCCTCAGGGTTGTAGTCAGGTTCTGAGGTTCGAAACTGTAAACGCTTGCAGGTGCTCTCTACCGACATTGACCTCCTGCAACCTCCGGCCGAGCTGGAGAAGAGGAAGCATAAGTTGAAAAGACTCGTGCAGTCTCCCAACTCTTTCTTCATGGTATTTATATCGTTCTTTCTGATTGTTTTGGCTGTTTTAGTTTTGCACCGGATTTCACATCTGCGCGGGAGTAAAGTAGAAGGCAAAGTCTATAGATTTCGAGGGGTGAGGAACACGAACAAACAGGGTTGTGAAGAGTTTCTTCTTTCGGCGGTTATGGTGGAGCAGTAAATTAGATACAACAACTCTTCTCCCCGAACGCCCGTCTCCTCATGTTTTGATTTCCCCTGCCCACCCCGCGCTGGGACCCTCAATGGACGGAGCTGGCATCTTTTCAACTCAAACCTCAAAACCTTTATAATCGCCCACAGGGTGAGGAGAACACTGTACTCTTCTCCTGAGAATTCATATCGTGTGGAATTGGAGAGGGTTACCAGGAGCTAGTACTGATCTTAGTCTGTGCACCATGAGAACTCTTTGACATGGATCTAGCCATGGCCCTTTTTTCATCCTATTTGGTGTCATCGGCTCGGGGTACGTGGAAGCATTGTAGCAGCGTTTGAAGGAGATTCTGATGGAGGAACTGAAGTCGTGTTTCTACCGTCCGAGGTCGCTGAGATAGAGGGCATGTAATGTCGCAATCATACTGTGCTTGCATATTGACCTAATTCGGTTTTCTGTCCTATGGCAGAAACGTAACACACATACCCTCTAGATTAGAATGAAAGGTGCTGGTTCAATTTCACCTTCGGTCATTTTACATTCAGGGCTTGTGTCTCATTATTCTCATTGGTGTGTGCAGGACGTGAAGTGCCAAGGATGCTTCAACATGTACGCATCTGACCATCGATCCTTACATTCTTGGATGCATCCTTATCACTTCAGTGTATACGTTGTTTGAATTTAATAACTGAGATTCGTATTCTGTATTTCCCACTATACTAGGTTCTGTGTCTTGCTTGACCAGGGTTGGAGACCTATCTGATTGAATGTGGTATCTTTTAGACCGAAGCATTTCTCACATTCCTCTCTTTTCCAACTGCAGTACCACCGTCTTCAGCCACTCTCAGACCGTGGTGACCTGTTTGAATTGCTCATCTGTTCTCTGTCAACCAACCGGAGGACGAGCGCGTTTGACCGAGGGATGCTCATTCAGGAAAAAGGTTGACTAAGTTTACAGTAATGGCGTAATTTCGTTCACCATGGTGCAGTTGTACGAACCTGCACCTACGTCTGCGTTAAGATTCACTTGTACTTCAAGTTCTTTAACCTGCAATTTTGGCGTTGCCCCGTCCATAGTGGTGCGATTGGTCTTATTTGCACCTGCACCGTATTTCTAAGATCCACTTGTACCTCAAGATCTTAACATTCCAATTTTGAAACATGTGATTGTTAAAAACCGTCAGTCACACATGGTCTCAATGTGCTCGATTCGTTCGAGATGTTAATACAGATCTTAGTTCTTGCATCATTATCATTATCTTTATTCCCCGTGAGATTCAGTTTTACACGTGGCAGCCGTGAAACGGCAAGATTGATATGCCTAAGTTGGTGTCTGCAATGTAAATTCCGTGTGATCGAGTGGCAACGCAGTGTCTTGTATTTGACGAAGAGCATTATAGTTGTACATGGGTGATTTCGAAGGCACACACATCTTAGTTGTTGCACGTGTTCTGTGATGACGTTTGCTATGAGGTGTGAATAGAAACTAAATTTTGCAGTTGACCTTCGAGGGATATTCATTCAGCCGTGAAATATACAGCGCAGTTACGAAATATGCTTGGAATAACAAGTTTCATGCTTACTGTAGAGTATTCACTGGAGAAGGAAATTTTGAATAGTTTGAGTGATTTTGCATGTCGAACATCTAAAAAATTGGAAATAATGAAGATGTGTGTGGTTTCCACTTGGTACAACACACCTATTTTGATGATTTGATAATTACGCCGAGCGGAAAATGTGCACAATGTGTGTATGGTGAGACGGATGGTACGATTGGTACATGAAGTTAACTGGAGTATGTACATATCTGCCTTGTAAAAGGTTGAAAGCTGAAACAATCGTGCACGGAAGAAAAGTTAAGAAGAAAATTTTCATTACCAACACAGGATGAGAAATATATTACGAAATTCGTTATTCTGTAATCACTTCGCTAAACGAAAATCATCACAGACAAAATTGCTTGTGAACAGTCTGGTCTGTCAACACTCACACGTGCAAGGAATGTATATCCTGCTCACGTAAAAGTTGACAGACTGTTTTAGAAGGACGATGGGAAAAGTGAGAGTCTAACTGAAAACTTGACATATAGGGCTGCATGCTTCAATCCGTAAGCCTCAAACACACATATATCTAGTTTGGCCTAATAGACGGTTCCCACAACGTCTTTGACTTAGAAGAAAAGAAGTAAACCTACCGCTTTTAAAATTGTTAATTCCTCTATATCGTTTTGAGTAGATGCACGGCTTTATTGATCACGTCCGGCCCTATGCATCTACAGTTAAGCCTTTGCACACTACGAGTATCAACATTTTGGGCTAACTTTGAACTATATTCTACACAACCTTGCGTATAAGTATTGTACACCTTATAACTAAATGCACAGTGATGTGCTGGTTTCTGTCGGAGCTACCAAAGTCCATGGCTTGAGCTGAGGTTGGAACAAAACTTAAATCTTTTGCGCTCAAGGGCAGCAAGCAAAAGCGTAATCAACCATGTTCTGTGGATGGTTGCAAGAGTTCGGCCATTCTATCTTTGAGCCATCGTCTGCTTTCTTTGAAACGAATCAGCAAGGCACGTCCTACTCTGTTAGAATTTGACTCATGCGACCGTTGGCGGCGGATACCCGAGAACCCCACTCCAGCAGCTCTTTGCTCGTGTCATCCTTGTGAGCTATAATTTCAATGAAGCACAAGTTGTCGCGGTTCTTCTCGCTCAGACATTCGGCAACTGCACGCGATAGTTCATCCTCTGTCTTAACCTGACAAGAGGACAGTACACATTTAGTGCTGGTGAATCTCATGATACTCACAGGAACACGAATATTTGTCCATTTCGCATAATGTTAATTGTCTTCTTAATGGAGATTAAATGTCCGTACGCTGTGATACTTACTCTGGTCGTCCAAACTTTGCCTTCTCCATTTTTTATCGCGTCCACTAGCGCACAATAATCCCAATTCTTGATAACGTTGTAAGGGCCATCGTGGATCTCAACCTCAATTGTGTATCCTCCGTTGTTTATGAGAAAAATTATGTTCCGTTGATTCTGTCGTATCATCGTTGAAATGTCTTGGCATGTCACCTGCAAGTACACCAATTGTTTAGAGAGACAATTGTTTAGAATTACTATAAGCTTCCCTTGTACCAGTCGATTGTCGTTTTTACTTAAACAGATGAACGCCTCGGTTCCAGCACCAAGAATGGGAGGCAAATTTGGGGTAAACGTTATAAGATTACGGGAAGCAGAAATGACCATTTACCGCTCGATGTGCTTAGAATTTCTCACCTGAAAGCTTCCATCACCGATACATGATATGACGCGCTTGGATGTGGCAGCTTGAGCGTAGCCGAGGGTGGCTCCTACCGACCATCCAATGGATCCATACTGCATTTGAAACTCGAAACTGGCAAACATAGGTGAAACGACGGCATAAAACAAGTGAGAGTGGTGTTCATCTATTTAAGGATTTGGGTGGACGCGGAGTGATTGACCGCAATGGTCGTGCAAGGTGGATGTCTGTACATAAACCTTCCACGATCTTGACTTGAAATTTTGAAGTGCAAACCGTCTGCGTTCAGGACTTTCGAGCCACTAAAGAGTCCGCAGAATAAATGCCATGCTAAACGATTTCACAATGTACGTTATCGTTAAGTTTACCCTTCCTTCTGCGAATCCGTGAATAACTCTAATCGATCACCGTGAGCAGACACCATATGGTTTATGTCGACATTCCATCTCGAGGTTTTAAGATCATGAGGGATGTGTGAAGACTTACCCACAGCCTTCTGGCAGTTTGAGTTTCTGACAGTTGAACCAGGAGTCCCCGGTTTCAGCTATCACAGCCGTATCGGCATTCAGCATGTTCTGCAGTGAATGGAAGACTAGTTAAATCGAGACGACCGTTCCTTCACTACTGTGCTAAACGATTTCAGCCGGCTGGAACGTTTTAGTTTCATATGTATTTGCCTTCTCGCGGATCGAGAGTATGCCTGAAATACCTGAATGTATTGGAAGAGGACGTTGATACGGAGAGGCTCGTTGGCAACAGATTTCTGGACAACACCAGGAGGAACGAATATTCTCTTGTAGTTCTCCCAAGCTACTTCGTTCTTTCTGACCTTTTGCGCGAGAAGAGTGAGGAATTCTACCATAACAACGCATCCATATGACGCCCCTGCACCGACAGTCACTCGGTCGGGCTGGACAACGAGCATTTTGTCCTTCTTGATGAGCAAGGAGTACCCAACGGAGCTGTAATCGTTGAAGATAGGCCCGATGAAGATGTACGCGTCGGCCGATTCAACAATTTCCAAAGCGAAGGGGGAACTCACGGCTCCCCAATACGTCCCAATAAATTTAGAATACGTTTCCGGGAACAGTCCCTTGGCAGAGGGCATAACGGCCACAGGGTACCCTGCTGCTTCGGCGAATTCAACGCAAGCTTTCTTTGCCTTGGCAACTCGAATTTTGGGTCCGCAGACAAGCACCGGTTTCACAGCTCGATTCAGAAACTCGGCTGCTGCATCCACCGATGCTTGCAATGTGGCCGGGTTGGAGATTCTGCTCGGCACAGTCAACCGCCTCAAGTTTAGCCATCAACGTGGGCATTAGATCCGTGCTGTGCCTGCTACAGCTGCGATGTTAATTGCCTGCCTGCCTGCCTCTCGAGGGTTTTGCTTGGGCACCTTCATGGGGCACTACTCCTGCTGCTCCGGCTTCACTCGGTGGACTCCTCTTCTGCCTTGTTTGACTAATTAGTCTGGTGATCACTCTCAATTCATCTACCTCCTCCAAAACGCATGCACCTCGCTTGCTGAGCCTGTGAGATGTGATCGTTTTGAATTGACATTTCTGGTGTCTGATGAGTGGAGGAGTTCAGTTTTGGCACCTTGTTTGCGGGCCGAAGGGGAGATCTGGAACAAAGCTCGGATTAGAGATATGGGGTAAATTGCAACTAACGCTTATGTAGACGGGCTTGCTCTCCCTGATGGAGGTGGAAATAGCGTAATCGACCTGCTCGTGCGCTGAATTCAGATCGTTCAGAGTCACCTGTCAGGTACACATCAAACACGTACAGATCAGAACTGCTCGTCCAGAAAACAAGTGCTCTGCACCGAGCAGCAATTAAATTCAAAGGCAAAGCCGTATTTCAAAAAAACCAAGTAACTGGTCGAAAGCAAGGCAGGGCAAGGCAAGGAAAGATTGATGGCCGGTACGTGCCTGGCAGCACGTCACGGTCTGGAAGCAGCGCAGTTCCTGGCTGAAGTCCGGATGCCCGATGGTGTGATGCAAAATGCGACTGGTTCCGTAGTCGTGAGAATTCGGCCCGCCGACGATGCAGATGACGGGGAGGTTCTCGCTGTAGGCGCCGGCGATGGAATTGATGACGCTCAAGCCGCCGACCGTGAAGGTCACCACCACGGCCCCCACGCCCTTGCATCGGGCGTACCCGTCAGCCGCGTAGCCGGCGTTGAGCTCGTTGCAGCAGCCGACGAGGTTGAGCTGCGGCTCGAGCAGCAGCTCGTCCAGCAGGAGGAGGTTGAAATCGCCGGGCACGTGGAACACGTCCTTGACTCCGATTTCTACCAGGCGACGCGCGATGTGCCGTCCCAACGTGGTTTCGGGCGGCGCGTTGTTCATGGTTACGGAGTAATTGGCTGCGCTCGGACGATGTCTCTGGGCAGTGGGGCTCTGCGCTTGCATCCCTACGTCGACCTGCTGCCGGCTCGCTGTAGTCATGGATTCAACGGCAACTTCAGTTTTACACGGACCGACGATAAGATTCGTAAAACTTGACAGAGGCATATAGTCTACGACCTGCAGGACTAGATTCTGCAGAGTTGTTCTGCCCTTCTGCGAGCTTGTCGATGATTCTCTACGCCTCTTTATCGAACATTATCGTGCAAACGGAGGCCCCGACTGCTGCCTCGGTCAGTGATCGAGTGGAAGCTTAGTCTGGGAACCTATGGAGCCTAAGGAAGGAAGGAATGGATGAAGAAAGTGGCAAGGAACGAAGGAAAGTGGTGTCGGGCGGAGCGGAGTGATCACCGGAGTAAGGGCGACGTTCTTCTTGGACCTCTTTGTACTCTTGGACCTTTGGGATATCGGGGTAAGGGCGACGTTCTTCTTGGACCTCTTTGTACTCTTGGACCTTTGGGATATCGGGGGAGGGGGGCTCCGGTCCAATGTCATCCCTAGGAGTGCTTGGCGTGGTGGAAGCCCCCGAAGAGGTCTGGGAAGAGTAATTGGAGGGGTTCGATGGCGCATAAGTACCGATCGGTGTGTTGATCGGCACCGGCGCCACGGATTTTCTGAAGAGCCTTTCCGCGGCTTCGGCACTTGATATTTTGGAGTACCTCGCTTTCCAATTTTTAAAAACCATCACGAAAAGCCACCACGCCCCTTGGCACTCGCTTCAACGGCTCCGCGAATTACAGGCACTCAGTATCTCTCTTCAAAACAAAACGGCACAGCGCAATGCCTGCCATGCGTTCAAGACCTGCTCTGCCTTTCGTGCACTTCTTGCTCTCATCTCTGCATCCTTCCCCTTCGATGACCTCCGTCGCTCGCTCGCTGCTGCTGGTCTGATTTCTGGTTCAAGAAACCTCTCAGAGGAGCAGCGGACCGTGCGAGTAGCATGTCACTCTTCGAATCGGCACCATCAACTCCCCGTCTTTTGAGGAGCGAGGTCGCTTAGTGCGCACATGGCTGAGCATTACATTCCTTAAACATGGCGAACATCTGCAGCGACCACTTTCGATTAAGATTACTTCGAAACATGGAAATTCCCGAAGACTTACTTCCAGACTGAAAGCCTTGCTATGTAAACGATAGAATTCTTTGCAGTTTTCACCAGAGAAGCGGGGTAGGTTGCAGCAGCATTCTTTCCTTCTTTCTCAGCGCCCAGATTGTCGGCGTTAGCTAATGTGTGTATCTACGAGCAGGACTCATGAATTAGAGATCCCAGAGAATCAAAGACACAAAGGAATTTCGCATGCCGGAACATCAATTGATTTCTGAGTTGTGCTTGTCTTGAATCAGGCGCCCGAGCGTCTCTGGGAACGAGTCCTTACGCGTATGTTTGCTCGCCCGCCTCTAGAATATCCTTCTGCCTACTCAAACATGCCTTAGTTAATCACTATCGACTAATTTCAGCTTCCAATTTTTCTCGAGCTGCTGTCATGTGCTCTTGAAACTGATCGCACATGTGTCCTTCCTTTAACCCACCATTTCTGTGAATGGTGTAGAGAAATAGAATCTAGGGACAGAGCTAGGTAGAGAATCCTGATTATACCTGCGATGAGGAAGTAGATGACATTGTCATCCAAAGAGTGTTCTCCAGATCGCAATCAGGATAGCGCACTGATACCTTCCATAAGCCAGATTTTGAGAAGAATACAACTGCCAAGTACTCAAAATCACACGTGAAGTTGCTCGCTCCACATCCTGACCTTCGTCTTCAGGGCTGATGCTGGAATATGTGGGTAGGAAGATACAGTTCGGTCCCCAAGTTTCCCACACCGTGTAGTAAATAATATTTTGAGAAAATGTATCCGTGATAAGCAAACACCAAATCCAACACCAACGATTCGGGGATCGGCCGCAAACCCCTTGTTGCCATGCTTATTTCTTGGCGTCGTTTTGAAGTGTTCTGTGGCTAACATGGCGTTCACTCTAGTATCCGTTCGACACACGCCTTCGACACAACAAGGTCACAATTCATACCGACTGAGCGCAGAGACTTCAATTCTTTTACACCAAGCTGTTGTATGGAACTGAAATATATTCCTTTTGCTCGCGAAATTAGCAGACTCTTCGTGGAGCCGATGTTCGACCGATTGATTCACGACTTATCTCGCCGGAAACCACCTCAAATTTGTGACATCCCTATGCATCATCAGTTCACACACAGACACGGTGAAACGTCGGACTCCTCGACACTGTGTCGTGTGCTGTCGTCATGAAGCTCATCCGACATGCATCCACCACTCATTACCATGTTCGGTGTCGGATCCTTATATGCTCCAATCACGCCAACATTCAGAAGTGCATGAGGTGTTAAGAGTAGATGAAGAATACTTCTTCTTCTACGAAAGGCCCCTTTGTAACAGCCGGTAGGAGAGACCAATTTCGAAACAAAAGAGAATTATGTAATCAACAGAATGCGGAATGACCACGGATTTACTTGTACGCTACAATTCAATTATTCTTAGTCTCTTACAAAATAATTAAACTGAATACACAAGGTTCAAATTGGGCCTGATAAGAACTGATTCAGTTCATTTCAGTATAGTGCCAAGATTTTATTGATAACTTAACTCATCATCATTTCTATTCATTAGCATAAATAAATAAATCAAATTTGATTAAAAAACACATTTATAAATTAAAAACTTAATTAAAATATAAAAAATTAGAAATTGTAATCAAATAAGTTTATGCTTCAAAAAATTTCAGAAACTATCCACTTAAACAACTTATGACATTTGTAAGCATTAAAATTATTTTTCATATCATTCTATATTGATATTGTTTAGATTTTCAAATATCAAAAAAATATTTAAAATTATTTATATGTGAAAATAATATATAAAAAAAATTAGACATTTTGTAATTCTTTCATCATACACGTCATAAACGCAATATTTTTTTAAAATTCCATGATTTAAAATCTTAAATATCTTGCTCATACATCTCAATTACTATAATTTATGATTTTATTACAATTTATATTGTATATGGAACCTGTTCATGTAATGACTTTAAAGTTAAAACATTGTGGGTATCAATATTTTGAAAAATATATCTAAAATCACAATTATGATATATTTTAACATAATGAATTGGTGTTGAAAGTATTTCAATAATGAAAAATTTTTCATCACAAGTAAAATCAAACACATTGGTTGAGTCCACTCACAAAACTTTCAACATGAAAAGGCACGCGTACAAGCAAAGCTGACATATAGTTCTCTTGTATAATGATAGTTTAATGAACTTCACTAACAAAGTTCAATCTAACCTCAATTACAAAAAACTTTGATCAATTCTAATTAAAGAATGTTCAAATAAATTTTAAATACATTTGTTTTAGAATAAAAAACAATGTTGTATCCTGTAAAAGATTATTATGATATGACATTGTATCATTATATAATAAAATAATAGTAATAAATGATCAAAAACACAAAAATCCACGTACACAAATTGAATCGTCAAGACAAAATGCATACACAACATAGATGAGAAAAGTACATGATTTGCCACACTCTAACTACTTATCCTAATGCACTTAGATCTATATTTATAATGTGTTCAAGTCAAGTTATGTATGTACTCTTATATATACATGATAGCAAAAAATACTAGGTGTATTTCTAAGTAGTTAAATCTTATCAGGATTTTAAATCAAGTTATGTTAACTTGAGTTTGATTCGAGAGTTGAGTTATTACTAAGAATGCTTTACTTAATTCACATCCAAAAACAATAACTCAATAATCTTTATAATGTACTCTACGAGATATTCTAAAAGTAAAAATAAATATGTAATAAAAGCTGCTAATAAAATCCATTTGCTCCTCATAAAAAACATATATAATAATATAATGTTTTAAAAAATTCTTCAAAAGAATTATTTTGATCACCGTATCACTTGGATTGAGTTTATTTTCAATATTGATTAGCTCGATTGTTTTATAACATTCAGCATCTTTGATAAAATGGTATATGTTGTTGACGTATGTTTCATCATGTTATCCATAACTTGATTTGCAGCAAGATGTAATGCACTTTTACAAAGTAAATTTCCAACCAATGCATACACCACCGAATGTAAATATATGCAAAGTTGTAGATTTTTTCTTGTCCACATCATGTTCATTTTCAACATCAGCAAAAATTTGATATTATTTAATAAATCATCACACAATATATGATAGTTTCTAATACTATTCAAGTAACTAAAAATCCATATTACATCTTTTTAATGCATCTACATTTGATTTGACATATACATGTTCACCTTGTCCACAGCTAGAGCAATATCAAATCTTGTAGATATCATCAAATACATGATCTACATAGTGCTATGTCATAGGGAACAAATGATTTTCTTTTTAATGATATGTGTTGGATGATGAATTCCAAAAAGTTTGAAATGTGATGTCAAGTAAGTCCATATTTTATCAGAGTTTATCATGTTAAACCTATCAAGCACACGTTGAACATATTAGCCTGGATTCAACTATACTTTATTCTTTTTTAAATTCATATGAATATCTATACCTAATATATTCTTAGACTTAACTAAATTGTTCATCTGATCTGAAGTCTTTAGTTGGTTCTTGCATTTGTCAAAGTCTTATTGATTCATAGCCAAGATAAGCATGTCATTCATTTAAAATACTAGAATAATATGATTGAATATATAATTATTCACATTCTTTATATATAAATATCATATATAAATTTTGTGAAAAATCTTGTATTTTCATGAATTCATCAAATTCCGCGTTTCATTGTCCGTGAAGTTGCTTCAATCCATGTAATGTTTTCAACAATCTACGAATCAATTTTTCTTGATATTTTTTCTTAAAAACGATTGATTGTCTCATGTAAATTTCATACTAACTTCCATAAAAATCCATACAAACTGTTCAAATTACGTCTATTTAATCCATAACATGAATAAATATTGCAGCAAATGCACATACCAACAAATTATAACATACTTTGATATAGATTTGGAAATTTTATTGCAGTCCACATCATTTTCTTGTATGTCATCTCTAATCACTAAACTGGTTTGAATATTTTCATATCACCTATTTGATTGTCATTGAGCTTGTACATACATTTGCAATCAATCAAAATCTTATTACTTGGAAGTTTCATTAAAGATTTTAACTTTTTTGTTGATGATATGATTTTAACAAAATAAACATCATAGAGAAAAAAACATTTGAAGATGATTACTACACGCCATTATGTATAAATTCAACTAATTTTTTGGAATATAAATTTCAACATCAAAAGCTTGTCTATGATGTTTGCTCATAACACAATGTTTACAAAATTCTAAGTCAACTATATTCATGCCAAATAACAAGCTCTTAGCATCAAGAATTATCATGTAACTATGATTTATGTGTTATAACCTATAATGTCAAACATTACACATCACAAATCAAGATTTAGCTACGTTGACTTCATCATAAATGTTAGTTTTTTCTATCATGTATAGATTATTGTACTTATGTACTCTAAGCATGGATTTATCACATATTTTTAACTCAAGAACTCCATTCCTACAACTTCATTCAATATTATTCAAATCTAACATTCCAAAAGTAATCAAATTCTTTATCACGTCTCAAGGAATAAATTTGATTTGAATCAATGGATATATAACATCATCAAACATTTGAATCTTAACGGATCTAATATTTTCAATACCATAAGATCATTCATCATAGTACAGTGAACTATTTTATGATGCTGAAATTCTTAAAAACTCTATAATGCAACAATTGTGATAAGAACAGACATTGTCTAAAATTCATATGTCAGCATCAATTATTCATAAGATGCAAAAGACATAACTCTTCCATTCTGATCATTTTTGAGCAAGTTATTTTTCTCAATATTAAATATTTGAGCTACACTGATTAGAGAAGAATTTGTATTTTTGATTTTCACATGCATGTTCTTTGTAATTGGTCATTTTTGCCATATTTTTAACATAACATCATCTTTTTTTCTAAGTATATACCATTAGATTCATATATATTATAACATATGTCGCGTTTGTCATTCTTGCTCTTTCTTGATTGTAATATACCTTGTGTTCCATTAAGTGTTGAATTAGAAGAATTTTATGCTGCAAATCATCAATCAATAATACATTTATTGATTATTGTTATCATATTATTATGTGATTAATGATGTGACACAAAGAGAAATTTTTGAAATTAACGAAGAGAAGAAATTGAAAAAATATGTTATTATTGATGAGAGTCAAGTATTACATCTAACAATAGAGATCAATCAAAACATTATACTAAAAATCATTGAATCAAATTAGTATAAGTAAATTATAGGCTGATTGATATGTATTGAAGATTGTGATATTGATAAAAATGGTTATGATAAAATTGTGTTGATTTTTGATAAAGTACATACTTTTTTTAATATAAGAGTTCAAGACTTGGTCAATAAATTTGAATGAAATACTGTTATGAAGCGTGAGATCATCTATGATGGATAATAAGACACAAAACTTAATGAAGTTTCCAAAAAATTAAACTATGATTGAGTGCAAATGGATATAAAGACTAAAAAATAATCAAATAGTTGATGAAAGTAGAATATTCAAAGTCAGGTTGATAGTTTAAGATTTCAAAAAAGAAGAAGATGTGTACTATGATGAAATTTTTTCATTTGTAACAAAGTATGCTACAGTTTGATTGGTATGTGCACTTGCAACAATATTTAGTCTAGTTATGTATTATATGTATGTAGTTAATGCAATTCTATAAATCTCTAAAGTAAGAAATCTACATGAAATATTCAGTTGAATTTGTATAAAAATGTCAAGAAAAATTGAATTGTAAATTAGTGAAATCACTATATGGATTGAAACAAATTCATATGTAGTGAAATGCAAGATTTGAAGAGTTCATTAAATTTTTATTTTCACGCAATCTGTATGATCTTTGTGTATAGAAATATATGATTAAATTTCTCATTTTTTTAGTAATTTACGTGAATAACATGCTTATCTTGAAAAAGAATCAATCCAACATTTACGTATGCAAACATCAAATGAAATATACTTTTAATAGGAAGTATTTAGACAAATTAAAGAAAATATTAAGTACGATATTTCATAAAGATTTGAAGAAGAATAAGTTGTGATCGAATCAAGTCAATTACATACAATGTGTGCTTGATAGGTTTAACCTAGCAAACTTCAAAGAGTGTAGATTCATTTGACAACACACTTCAAACTTTTTGTAGCTTAATTTTTAATCAATGCAAGTGAGAAAACAATGTTCATGTATTCTTTATGATAAAGTTATGAGCAAATTCATGTGTTTGATGTTGTACAAAAGATCTCATATTATTTAACATGAATAAAATAAAGAGATACATACAAAATCAAAAATTGACAAACAATATAATGCCAAATTTGAGTAGGCTATGTGAATGTTAACTATGAAGAAGTATATGTTTACATTTGAAGATTGATGCATGAGTTGAAAATCTAACTGGCATAAAAGCGTAGCTCAATCTAAAGCAAAAGCTAAGTATGTAGCGACAACATAATCAACAAAGTAAACTATTTGGTTGAAAAGATTTATTATTGAAATGAGTTTGTAAATCTTAACCCTTTTGTGGATACTTGCTTGTTCAAGCAAAAAAAGATTAGGTGATAGGCTAATTCTGTTATATTTTACTGCAAATCAAATGATGAACAATAAAGTGAAACACATTGACATGAAATATCACTCTATCAGACTTGGAGATTTCATAAAAGTATTGAACTAGTCAAAATTGACGTTATATTCAATCCAAATGATGTGCTCACTAAGGTTATTTCTTTAGACTATTTTAAAATACATTGTGCTCCTATTCAAATATGCACAATGATAAGTAGAGTTCATTAGCATATTTTATTAACGATGTATATTTTTACTCTATCTTATTTTGGATTAGTTTTAGTTTATTTTAATTCAAAAAGAGTATTATGTTAGATTTACCTCTAGTACTTATCACATGGTAAATTTATAGGTTATGGAGGTTACAGTTTTATCTACATGAAAAGAGAAGATCGTTAAGATTTAAATCGTGTGAAACGTTAACTTAGTTTTCAAAAATACCGGTTTAGAGTTAAGTTGTGACTAGTTAGTACGATGAGATCTAGCTCGTGGCTTGAATATTATATCATTCTAGTGTGTTGTGTTGCCATGAAGTAAACCACAATAGCTATCGCGTGAAAGATATGATTCATATTTTCCTTTGTTTCAGTTCTCGTAATTTGTGTTTTGGTCTCTTAATTCTTTACAAGAAAAAAATTAGATGAATGTCCATGAGAAATAAATAAATAAATAAATAAATAAATAAAATAAATATGTGTTGTAACTTTTTAGTAAAAAAATAAAGAAATTATAGATCTCATTTGCATGACTTTCAAATTTTTTTATATTAAGAGGCATTTTAAAGTTCATTCGAATAAATAGACAATGATGTACATTGTGTTTGAGTATCCTAATAATGGCTTCATGAGATATGGATGTGTAACTTTTGAAGATAATTATAGGTAGCCAAATTCTACATGGAAGAAATGGTAATAGACAGCCCGCCTTTAGAATTCTTTGCCTCTTATCCTTTTGAAATTCGCTTGATACAACTCACAGTACCTTAATATGTAGTCGGCGAAAAAGGAGTTGCCATCTTATAAAACATGGCGGAAAAAGTAGCAAAATCTCATTGTGATGCTATAGTAACGCAGCCTGTTGCTAACCGTTTGGCGTCATCTTTGTAATAATTGAAGCCGTATTCCCATCATTTTTGTTATTTCTATTTGGTCTCGCTGTTCATTATAAGAAGAATATAAATTATCGTAATTGCTTTTACAAGGAACAGAATCCGAGCGCCTTGCATCCCCTCCGCTGCCCGTCTACGGCAGGCTCGGCCCGCGATGGGAAACGTGGAACGGCGAGCGCCTGCCCGGACCCGCGATACGAATGAAGCACGGAAGGGACTAGCGGGGAAGGAACAAGCGAGTGGTGGCATGGTAACATGGAGCTCTGGGCTGGTCTGCGTGCCTCGTGCGAGTGTTGTGCCCCGGGTGTTGTCCAGGGCAAGACTTCGTCGTTCGGCCTTTGCTGTCTTCGAGATTCGTATGCCAGTCCGGAGCCAAGATCCGGCGCCAGATCCTTTTCTCGCGGACCCGTGAAAGCGTCAATTATGCATTCTATGGAAGTTTCTGTACATGAGTGCGTTCGGCACTAGGCGACGGGGAGGGTGGGAGAAGGACCGGGAGGTGTCGGATTTCTGAAATTTGGGATTTGTGTACACCATGGAGCTGTGAATGTGGAGGGAGACATGCGATGGGATGAGGTGATGTGAGATCGAGGAAAGGTTGGTGGATGAATCAGAGGATATTGCCTCGTCAGTAGTGGAAAACTTGCGCTCGATGAGCTAGGCCGCGGATGGCCACGGGAGCAGAGGATGTCGGAAGGAAAGAAGTCATGGAAGGCAGAGGCGAGAACGTCTTGGAAATCGATGATGTTGTGCCAGATCAGGACTGGCACGGATTATTTCATCCGCTCGGTGACAGGAATGAAATTATGACTTTTCGAACAGGAGTTTGATTCGTCAGGTGGTGGTCAATGCGTGAGGCAATCGTTCCTTTTTTATTGGGCTCGCCTCTTTAGGTTGCTAACGGTATCTACCCTTAGCGTTATAGCAGGAGATGCTACTGGTCTGAGTTCTCGAGTGGAGATCAGCTAATGCTAGCACTCCTAGAAGATGGATTCGCCATCCTCAACAGGACGGCACGGTGCTGATGTTTATGGAAATCCATCTAAAAGGAGTAGTGACGCGGCCTCATCATCGGGAGGTGGGAGCTCGAATCGCAGCTTTTCTCTGCAGGCCAGGCAGTCCTTGTCAGGCGAGGTCAATACTGCCGGGCAGGAATCTGACACCAGTGCCTACGGTCAGAGTCTTGCATCAGTTCTGAATAATCCGCGGCTTGGTAAGGCAGGAATTTACAGTGCCGATGCATCATGGGGATCGTGGTTATTTCAAGGTTCTGTCGATCCTCTATTCGATGCTGCTCCACCTCCCTTAGCTTCTGGTACACTTCCTGAGGTTAGTAGGGCCGACTTTCAGCCATACCTCGACTCGATCGGGGAATCATACGGTCGATATGTGGCTGTAAGAGATCATTCTAGCCGTGAGCAAAATGATCAACCTAGTTCAGGTTCAGGGGATATCTCTTTGGAATTTGAAGGAAGAGTTGGACAAGGAGAAGGTCTGGTTGCATGCCTCCGGGAGATCCCTTCTCTTTACTTTGACGAAGACTTTGCTCTAGATAAAGGTTCTACTTTTCAGCAAGCATGCCCGTTTTCTTCCATTCCTCAAAACATGATGCTTCAAGAGAAGCTCTCACATTATTTGGATCTAGTGGAGGTGCATTTGGTCAAGGAAATATCTGCTAGATCTGACTCATTCTTTGAGGCACTACGGCAGCTTGAAGATTTGAACGGAAGAATTGTACAGGCTTGTGATCAAATTCGTGTGCTCCAAGGGACCGTGCAACTTCTAGACGGAGATCTGGTGGAGTCTGCATCTCGAATTCAGACTCTGGGCATGCGCCGTGACAATCTGCTTGCTCTTCATCAGCAGTTGAAGCTCGTGGCATATGTGAATCAAGCATTATCTGCACTTCGACTTGTATGTTTCATACAATTCTCATTTGCTACCTTCCTGTTAGCAGGCTTCAAGCTCTCAGTTTAGTAGTGAACAATGTGATGATTTGACCGTCTGTGTGCCATCATAGCGTAGTGTAGGGGCTGGGCTTTGAATCCATTGAAATACAGAATCGTAACAAAATGTTGATTACTAAAAAACGCCATTTCTTTCTCCATCTTAACCACCGCGTAACTTCTCTTCATCTCCTCAGTAAAGCATTGCATCACTTGGACGGATGATGATGAGACCTATTAATTATGTTTCTCATCCATCTTCTCTAAACTTGTCCCAGCTTGTGTCAGCGGCAGACTGTGCTGGCGCCCTTGATGTGATAGACGATCTGCAACATTTATTGGTAAAATGCCCACCATTCTCTTTCGCGCGCATAACAGTTATTCCTTGAAGTGAATTACTTGAGCTGCTGTAGTACACCTTAGTGCTGCAGGGCACATGCTTTACTTGCTGATCACGATTTGTCTGGTTATGACAGGCATATTGCTAATGCTAACGTTGAGGCATTCCTAGGACTACTCATATAGTGGATGTATTCTGTTGTTAGTAATGTTTTTGGACCAAAGAAATCAAGAAAGATAGAAACTTGAATCTTTCGTGTTACATCAATTTAACGTCAGTTTTCATGTAAGCTACGGTCATGTATTCAAGTTGTCAATCTGAATAGTTTTTGGGTTTTTACTGGATCTGTGTAGGAGGGGGACGAGCTTGTTGGGCTCCACTGTTTTAGACGATTAGGTGACCAGCTAACTTCTGCAATGGATTCAGTCAATAGGTACTTTTATACCTCTGTATATCAAGCATCACACTTGTATTTAGTGCGGAAGTGTGCACTTTTCATTACATGTTTTGCTCCATGTAAATTTATTACTGGTCAAGAACAATCGCTTTAAAGTTATTAGGTTTCTTATCTCGACTTGTCCAGTGCTTGAAAGTTGCGCATCCTTGCGTTTTCTTGTGTCTGTTCGAATCTGACTTAACTGCTATTCACTATGAACTTGCTTGGCAGCACACTTGCTGCTGATTTCGTTCGTGCAGGAATTCACGACACAGGAGATCTAGAATCCAATGCCGTTGTGACTATTTTCCATGCCAGAGTCAAGGACTATCCAGGTTCTGTTATGGATATGATACCCGTTGAGGTGAGGTAGACTATGTATGCGATAGCTAAAACATTTAAAATTTTGTCTTCCGTCCTTTAGAAATCCGTCAGAAGCAAGACAGATAGTTGTTCAAGGTGTGTAGATTATAAGGCGGTTTTCAATATGCCCACATGCGATTTGGACGATTCTTAACTGGCGGTTTAGCTCACCATCCTGCAGAATGACTCAGAAGAAATTTACATTATAATGATCCCTTCAGTTATTTTCCAGCTTATCAACAAGACTAGTCTGTCAATTGTCATTAACTATCGTATTCAAAGTATGAAAGCTATGAACATAACTGGAAAATTTGATTGTGGTGCATGCAAATTGTCAGGGTAAAGGGGACGAGGATGAAGAGTCAGGCTTACGTGACCAACTTTTACCGATGGTCATTGGATTACTACGCACGGTATGCTTTCCTTTCGAGTTAATATGGCCGTCTCATAACAGAAGCTGTATCACAACTAGCTGCTTAATCTTCGTCCTTCTAAATCGGAATGGAAACTGGAAAACCAATCACAAGTAACAATGCCTCGATGGATCATGAGCTGAAGTGTAATACTATGTTAATTCCACCTTATGGAGCACCAGCCCAATACGTTGTAGGTTTCTGACTTGCAGTTTGTAGTTTGTCTTGATCAAAGCTGAAGTGATCTACATGATTTTGCAGTCGAAACTGCCAGCAGTTTTGAGAGTTTACAGAGACACACTGATAACAGATATCAAAGCTGCAATTAAGACAGTGGTGGCCGAACTTCTTCCGATATTGTTCACCCGGCCGCCTGAAGGTGACTTGCCGTCCGCAGACAGACAAACAGATATGGAAGGTTGGTGGTTTACATTCTTCGGTTCGTTCGACTTTCGTTGAGTGTTGCACAAGTAGAGGAAAAGTCCAATCCAGGCTCTCTCCAATTAGTCATCCAGATACTTAGCACATAGTTTAGAAATGTATCACTATTGGTACGATGTTATGAGCATTAAGGTGCAGTTTTCGTTCGTAGAAAAATGTTGCTGTTGTCAGATATATGTACTAATTATGACGATGTGGCTTTATTCTCATTATTTGAAGACCTTGTGCTAATCATTTGACGTTTCTTCTTGCAGTTGGTGGCTTGTCATTGGCATACAAGTTGAGAGCATTATCAGCGGAAAATTTTGTACAATTACTCATTGCAGTCTTTGGAACTGTCCAGGTGCGAAGAACTGACGCTGACCTTTGCGTTTCCAAAATCCTTGTATAAGGAGATCGGTTTCAGTGAACATTGATGCTTGAGATTCACACAGATGACATATTTGAGACATCGTCCTTACAGTTTTTCCATGATCTTGTTTACGTTCAATCTGCTGTGCTGTGAATGTCCAAACCACTTTATGACACTAAACAAATGCTCGTAAGATCTCATCCTCGGTTCGACAACAAAGCACTTTATTCCAATAGTGTCGTTGATCAATGCACTCCATTTCCGAACATATACACAGGCTAGGATGGTGCGAGCAGCCGAAGTCCGAAGTGTTGTAGAGCAAATAATCGGGGGCCTACAAGGAAGCTACGCTGCAGCAGCGGTTGCTGCCGCTTTTGCATCGGGTGCAGCAGCGGCCGCAGCTGCTGAAGCTGCTCAAGAAGGACAACAAGGACCTTATCCCACAGGCTCCAAAGCATTGCCTTCTACAAGCAATCTCATCATATCCAAAGGAACAACAGGAGCAAGTTCGAGTATATCAAGACAGTTCAGGTGCATATCACGAATTTGCCACGGGATGTCCTTTTTCCTTTCTTTTTGTACAAGAAGTTGGAGAGAAGCAGTTGAATATTCAACTTGAGACTGCTTAGATTGTGTTCTTGAGTATTTGAGATAACCGACCAGATTTTTCCTCATCATGGAATCGGATCTTCATTCAGGGCGGATGTCTTACGAGAGAACACAGAGGCAGTGTGCGCAGCATGTGATGCTGCCCATGGACGATGGGCAAAGTTGCTTGGCGTCAGAGCTCTTATTCATCCAAAGTTAAGACTGCAGGAATTCGTCAGCATATACAATGTCACGCAAGACTTCATAACGGCCACTGAGAAGGTGGTGATCATTCTTTTGCTCGAACGAAAATTTATTTCTCTGTGATATCGTCTGTAAATGTCTTGTCGCTTATAATATAATGCTGGAAAATGTGTGCAAAAGGCATGCCAATCTCTTTATTGTAGGGTTGTCATACTGCCAATGGTTTCTAATTCCTAGTACAAATGACGGTACTGTTTCGTGACGTTCAGGAACTCGATATTTTTCGACTAATGTATCTTAAGATGTTTTTAAGTTTAGCCTTCACGTCACATATCGTGTTAAGAGAGTATCTCCACGTTTGTTTTGGGTCGTTAGTGGTAAGTCTATTACGTCAGAGATCGAAGAATTTTCTTCGACTTCTAACACAGTATCCAGACACGACATTGTCCTCATAATGCAGGTTGGCGGACGGTTGGGCTACAGCATCCGGGGTACTTTACAATCTCAATCGAAGTCTTTTGTGGATAACCAGCACTCTACCAGGGTATGCACTTACTTTTCGTTTGTCATATATTCTGCCTATATCTCCTATTGCATTGTTTCTATGTAGGAGTTGGTTTTTTTCCACGCAGATTTTTGCTGATTCTATAGAACGAATGCATTTTAACCTTTGGCTCTGATCTCCCCAATGTCATGTAGATATTGGACGTTGTACATCTACATTCCAGTTTTTGACATGATCTTGAAAACTGGTAATTGGGAACGTGTTCTCATTTTGCTACATTGCTGTTGGCTACATGGTTGCAGATGGCAAAAATCACGGCAGTGTTGGAACAAGAGACGTGGGTGTCCATCGATGCACCGGATGAATTTCAAGTTATCGTGGATTCATTCACCGCGGTAGAAGCTGTCAGCAATGGCAGTTTGATATCATCAGATGTAGCATCAAGTGATGTAGAGAGTCTGAAGCAGGCTGATAGTTCTGACTCTAGACCTACTGGCGAAGAAGAGGCCTCGGATGCAGCCAGAATAGAGAGTCAACTTGAGAGGACTGCTTCCGAAACTGCAGGCGATGATGATGCTGCAAATGCCGTGATATCAGTGCATGAGGCCAACGGTCTGTTGAGAGAAGAATCTGTAGAAGACTCGGAGAAAAAGACGAATGATGGACAAACCGAAACATCCCGTCCCCAGTCAGATGTAGCTGATACAGGAAAAGGCAGTAGTCCTGATGTTCGAGCTCCACCACAATCCATACTCCCAGGTAACGGTGCAGTTGCCAATGGTAATAAACCAGAACTTCCTGTTCAAAGCACAGTTAATGCCTCTGCTGAAGTTGGAGGGGACTTGGCTGGAAAGAAGAAGAGCAGGGAAAGACCGTCTATAAAAACTTTGCAAGTCCGTGGAGTAAGCTATCACTCTGTCAATTGGTAGGTTTTCTTCCATTCACTTTCATATTGGAGAAAGGTTGTAACTCGTTTTGCTTTCGAAGATAGATCTGCAGATTGCGAACCATCAGCTTTTCTTGATCTAAGTCTTCATCATAAGACATGTGCAATTGATCTTTCAAAGTCATGAAGTCCGTACACGTAGGAGGTATATCATACAAATAATGAATCTTCCCTTCTGTGCAGTGGACTGATTCTTCTAAAGATGATTGCGGAGTACATAGACATCAGCAATGCTTTGCCTACTCTAGCTACGGAGGTGGTACATAGGGTTGCTGAGATACTTAAGAGTTACAATCAGCGAACTTGCCAGCTCGTACTTGGTGCTGGGGCTATGCAGGTATGTATCAAACAAGGGACTGTCTTCGATGTAGGCCACTGAACCACTTCTGTCAGTTCTGACTTCGACCGCTGCTGTATTTGATTTAACAATGACCTTCTTCTGTATTTGGCTGATGTATTGTTGGCGATCACAGGTGTCTGGGTTGAAATCTATAACAGCAAAACACTTGGCTCTAGCGAGCCAGACCATTAGCTTCTTTTATGCTATTATTCCAGGTATGTGGACGATTTTATTCGTTATGCCTGTGATATACACTAATGACCTTTTTCGGGTACTTTGCCTTTTCGGCATTTGTGTGTATGCGTGTTGATGCTTTGCAATATTTTGTATGTTAGCATCGTGCGGCTTGAGAGCGCAAGAGCAAATAGTTTTGATATTTTCATTACGAATCATGTCTAAGATTTTGCCGTTAAGATGATAGATTGGATCTAGCTCAACTTTCTAAGTGATGTCTGTGTACAAGACTCTGATGCACACCATATATCATTGATTATGCAGACATACGGAGGCTTTTATCTGTGCATATTCCAGAGGCACGGAAAGCTTTGCTGCTGACAGAGATTGATCGCGTGGGTCAGGTAACTTGACACTGCTAAACTTTTGTTGCTTAGGATCCGATTATCGACTGGAACTCATCTGACCTAGTGAATCACCATATGCAGACTTTCTTTATTGCACTTGGTGACTGTGAGATGAAGTCTTAGTTTAGTTTCTCAGTTTAGGCCATTCAGTCAAAAGCCGAGTGGAGAGCGGTACAAGTGGGGCGGAGTTTTACTTGCGGTTGCGTCACCAAGTCCCACCTTCAGTTTGTGTCGAGTTGTTCGTAGACTTTGAATTTTGCTGGTTAAAGCTTTGACAGGAGCGTTCCTGGGGCACATTCTGAAATGAGTACTCAGGATTATAGGACACACCGGGATGAAATCCACTCAAAGCTGGTGCAAATTATGAAGGAGCGCTTATTGCAGCATCTGAAATCAGTACCACAAATAGGGGAGGCTTGGAACAAGGCCGATGACAACGATCCTCAACCTAGCCAGTTTGCTCGTTCTTTAACAAAGGTTTGTTCTCTTCCTCATAAATAGTCGATCGTACTGAAGAGGTGAAACGTCTTTCTCTCATATCGCAAGTTGTCGCATATCATGGCAATCGATCTCTGCATAGAACTCTACGAGAAGAAAGTCATTGTGAGTAATTACCGTCTATGCACCTGGAATACGTATATATCGGAAGTTGGAAGACAGAAGCTACAGGATCAGCAACTTTATCGTCCTGCTGCCAAACCTCCATTATACAATTATTCTGGTAACGAATGTGTCAGAATTTTATTTCTGCCTGCAGGATGAAGCCGGAAAAGAAGTTACAAGGAATTCATACTGCACGTTAGTTCATACATTGTATGGCTAGGCTCAAACTTCATATATGTTGTGGCTGTTGTTGCGGGGACTTGCAGGAAGTTGGTGTGCTCTTCAGAGTCGTATCTCCTATCCTGCTCGAGGCAGATACTCGTTCAATTTTTACGTGAGTCTTATAAATACTACCTTAGAAAGGAACTTGCATGGTGTGCGCAATGCTTCTAGAAGGTTGTTGGCATCTTTGGCTCTTTGGTATATATCACGAGTGCAGTATCGATCAGGGCGAGTGTTCATTGATCTTCAGGCTGTTACAGGTGAATTTCGAGTGACTACAAGTAATCTACTGAAGAGACTCGGAACGTTTTCTAACGTCGTTCTTGAAATGTGTCAGGCGAGTCGTTGCACTCTTCCACTCGCAAATTGCGGAAGCGTTCTCTAGATTGGAAATCAGCACTCCTCACGGAAAACGAAAGTAAGTAAGCTCAACTTGAGCTTAATCTAGACAAGGGACTGAGTCATTAAAATAAGTGAGAAGTTATTGCAGCCGTCGAACATACTTGCTGTTCATACCCAGAGAGATTGTGCCTTACATGACGATTGTTATTGAACAGGTTATATAGAGACATACAACTTATCCTTAGCTGTATTCGAGGACTGCCATCAGACGACGTAAAGGCAGACGGTGCACAGAAGCCGAGGGAGCTTGACGAATTTTTGTTGCAAAGATATGGAATCGAAGCTCCTCAATAATCAGAGCTTTCAAATCTACCATAATATTGCTAGTCAGCAAGGCAGGGCTTGACTTCATGTTCAGCTTCCTCTATAAAGAGGACCTGTCATTTTGTTCAGGCCTATTGTGAAGGCCTTAGGAATCCCAAAATCATTTATGTATTTTAGAGGAGACCCTTATTCTTTAAGCAGCATCATGTCATATTTCCGAAGAGAACTTTCTCAGCTGAGCATTGTGGACCCGGACCAAACGAGTTGTATTCAGGTTTGCCCAATTCTATCTCCCTGCAACTTGGCACGGGTGTGTATTTTTTGATATGCAACTGCATTCGAGTCCAACCCTTTTATTTTCATTGCTTACAATGTAAACTATGCTATGTTTTGTCAGAGAGGAGATTCTACATCTTGCTTTTACACGGTAGCTTATAAGCCCATTAAAAAGAAGAGCTTGTAAGCTACTTTTTAAGTTCAATCTTTATTTGGAAATGAAATTGTCAGTGCCATGTTCGGGTAGCCTTACTTATATTGGTGGATTATGAGTAGCATTTCTGTAATGTGAATATCCATGATAGTATCTATGGACATCAGCTAGCATGAGGGTCCTTAAGCTACTTAGGTTTCCAGTCTTTACTCAAACTGTAGTGTTCTTCGAAGTACGTAGTCAATCAAACCTTGCTGTGTACTTGGTTTTTATCTACACGTCAAATTATCATTTGTGAGTATCCATGATGGTATCTCCAGCCATCAGCATGAGGGTCCTGAAGTTGCTTAGTCTTTCTATTCCGTAATCAAAACTATAGTGTGTGTAAAAGATTTCTAACAGTATTATACCTTGTTGTTTCCTTGGTTTTATCAACATTTCCAAGCATAATCTGTATCACACTACAACCATCAATTTAAAGTTTTTGTGAACCTGGTGAGGCTTAGATTTATGGGGGATCTAAATTCATGATACGGTTTTATATGAAGCAACGCCTTTGGTATGTTTGGTCTATGGCAGTCACTTGGTGGAGGGCGGTCAAAACGAGGAGAAAAATTCGTTTAGTATCTCTAAGTGTATCTTTTTGTGCATGATAAGCAGGTCTTGATGCGGGAGAGGAGATTAAACAGGTGTGCATCTTTGTTTGTGCATACGGTGATCTCTTATGCGCTGTCATCCTGTTAATTGATGCATTATTACAGTGTCAAACTAATTTCTCGTGCTCATATGTCGTGCTACTGTTGGCATTCGTCTACTTCCACACATCCGGGCTGGTATTAATTCTGACAATTGTAATGGGCGTACATCTTTGTCTTCCACTTTATTGAAGTGAGTTTTTTTTTGGCTTTATTGCAGTTGATTTTATGGATTAAAATCTATGTTAATTAGTATATCACTCTTGTGAATATTGAAAGTCAGTGCCAGGCCATTTCTTGTGAAACCTGGAACTTGTTTCCCTGGGACGGAAATGAAGGAATAGCGGCGAGGCACCTGAAGTACAGAAAATCAGGGTTGCCATTGCATAGTAGACAAGGTTGTGCGGGTAAGTGGGAGAGTTCCACTTATCCATGTTGTCTGTATATGAAGCAAAACTTTAGTGTCTGAAGAGTTTGTCAGGACTGGTCATGACGTCATATTTTGCCAATTCCGGTCTCGTGCTCTATGTTTTTTCTTACCATTCAGACAAACGCATTGTAGGGGTACAATGCGTTTATCTGAAAGTGATCATGACCGTACTTGAAATACGTATTTTTATGTGTAAATATATCTACAATCACATACACACCACCAGTGCGAAGAGTATTGGAATGAATTTATCAAGTTTGGAAGCAAGAACTGAGTCCATCCTTCGCTGGTCGAGTGGAACATCGTTTCCCATTATGGTGATGATAAGTTCTTTTACTGGTCTTTGCATTAGTATATCCCAATTATGAAGTCAATGTAAGCCCATAATTATGATAATAGTAAATGCCGCACTGGAAAATAGAAATCTAGCCTATCTATAGCACATCTATCATTGTAGATCAGACTTACGTACATGTCTGATCTCGAAGTCTGTACACGTTTATCACGATAACCCTTTCGATGATCGGGCAACAATCGAAATTTATTCGATAAGACAGTCGACACACGAAAGCTCTGAAGCTATTCAAGAGCTTACAGTGTTACTACGACAACCTCTGGAGAAGTTTGTTGACAATGTTTTACAGTCTTCAATGCAACCACGTTTGGACTCACGTTCTCGCATACGCGTAAGCGTATGCGAGAACGAGGGCCTATCCAGTAATTACTCTGAACCATGCTTGGTTCCAAATTATGCCCAAAAGTAGAGTGTTCTTAGACACGGAGAGCGTGGCTAGCTGCTCTTGCTCCACTTCGGTCTTTGCTGCTCGGCCAGTATGCAATTGCAACGTCGAACCAAGTTTCAGTCTGCCCACGAACTTGTCCTTTGGGTTGAAGGTCATGCATTTTGACTCCACCAGCAAGCAAGTGATGTCTGTTCGATGTAAGTTCTGCGTTTATTACGGGAAGGGAGAGGCTGATAAACCACAACGAGCCTCCAAGCAAACGACCAGGATTAAAACTTGGGAGTCCGGAGCTGTGTAAAAGTCATCATCGAGGCCAACACCAGGAGCAGTGGGCGATTTATCAAGGTCTTGACTGGGAAGAAAAAAAAAGTTTTCTTTGAGAAAGTCCCTTTCTTGCCAACACTCTGCATTCACGTTTCGGTTACGAGAGCAGTCGTTGACACTGATTTTCAAACAATATCGAAGTTATTATTGGAGTTCTGTTTTTCATTCCAGATAATTTTAACGAAGTTTCACGATCGCGAGAAATGTCTCTGTTTGATCACATGTCTCATGTCTGAGAACCAATCCAGCTCTGGGTATGCGACCACGATCAACAATGTTCTGCAGTTTCATCTTGTTGTCAAGTATCCCTCCCATGGATTGTCATTCAGCCAACCTGCGGCTGTTTTGCGATCAACAAAACAATTACCTGGTATCGCACAATTGATAATGTTCCGCAATAGTGATTGTAAATTTCGCCAGAATTATGGTTGCAGCCAATCTTAGAATCATACAATCTTGGAAACTCCGGAAGTTCTTGCTTTTTCAATTCCGTTGGATTCGTCAACACATAACGCTTTCTTTATCTAGCCATTCGGGTAAGATTACGCCTCAAAGACTTTTAATGACTTCATTCATAATCTTCATGTTGCAGTTGTTACTATGTTTGGGAAACACAACGATGTGAAACAAACCTCTGTTCACAATCTTTCTAAATACTTCCTTGGTGGAGTCGGATTTCTCCGTTCTTGGATGAGAGAAGTGTGAACACTGTGAGTACTTGTCAATCCTTTTCTCATTGGGGATTCTACAGCTAAACAATATAACTATCTGCATAACTCAATTTGGGGTCTTGTGCCATGTATACATATGAAATTGTTATCAATAAACTGCTATTTTCTAATGATTAACAAAAGACTATGCAACTGATATCAAAATTATAAAGTTGACACTTACCAAATTTAATCAGGTTAATCACTAAATAAAATATCATGACACCTCAAACTTCCCATATCACTTCACCTTAGGTAGATGTCACCAATGTCTACCTCGAATGCTATGAGCAAGTCACTATTTTACTCATAATAATAAAAAAATAATGCATGAATATATTAACTCAGCATTGTTGAGCAAATGAAGAGTTGCAATCTGACTGATGATTGCAAAGGATTTTGGATACATATTGTATGACTTTCACTTACTTTTTTTTTGTAGATTACTGATAATAAATTTACAATTTATGTACAAGTATTTTTAGCAATTTTGATTTGAATAACCTAATGATAAAATATAACAAAAAATCTAACTTTTTTTTTCGATAAAAAATTGAGATTAGCTATATAACAAAAAAAAAATTTTAAAAAAATGATGGAAAATATTTTCAAAAAATATATCTATTTATTATTTATATAAATTGATATTTTGTGTTCATGATAAAAATGTTCAAAAAAATTATAATAGAGTCCTATGTTCATGAAATTAGAGGTTTAATTTTAATAAATTTAAATTATGTTGATTTTTAAGTTTAAAATTTCAAATATCAAAGACTAAATGAAAATGCATGAATTTTTTAAATCAATTTCAAAACACTAGATGAAGAATAAACGTCAAAGATGCATTACTTAAGTCATATAAAATTTCAAGTCACATGTGAGTAAAGATAAAATACACATTGTATAAAAAAATTCAAGGTAATAATTGAAAAAAATATTAAATTGGATAAATTAATACCTCTGAAATTATTACTTCTTAAAATAAAAATTATAAAATAAAAATTTTCTTCCTTAAATGTAGTTTTGTTGATATAAAGATACTCATTTTGTCTTTTATAAATTTATTGTATATTAGTAAAATTGGCTAAGTAAAATGGCAAATGATTAAATAAACAGCTATCGATCTAGAATTAATTTAATTCCAAATTTTTTTAACTTAATTTAATACATGCAAATATTTACTTTTTCGAAAAAAATGGTTTTTCAGTACATAAATATTTCAATTATTTTTTTAATTGTGCTAAAAATCTAGAAAATGTTGGTGTTTAATACAAAAAGCAAGAAATCTAAAAGAAATAAATTGATGATATTGAAGCATATGACAAGTAAAAAGGAGATAAGCTAATAAATAGCAATATCATATGCATTTGAACTCAAATGATAAACACTTTTATTTTTTTTTAGTATATTCCAAAATGTATGTGTTAACGTAAAACCAAGAATCATTCAAGCCAAGTACGAAGACACAAGGTATAACGTGGTTCATCCTCGAGGGCTACGTCCACGGCTGGAACACTAAGCAGGTTTATTGACAAGTGACTACACAATACTTCAGCTCCTTTTGAGAAGCCTTGGCTTTGGGGGTATATTTAAACCCAAAGCTAGCAACACACATCGCTATAAATAGCTATAAATAGCTCTAGCTGTAAATAGCTAGAGCCTGAGGTTACTCCTTAACCGGAGTTAACATCAACAATCTCCCCCTTAACTCGTGTTAAAGAAACAGTAACTTCTGAAACTTATATGATTACTCAGCGGGAAGTTCTAGACAAAAACCTATCACAAGGCCACTCTTTACACGAGAGTTAACTAGAACTAGACCGTAACCATAACAGGATAAAGTAATAACATAAAGAGGTAAATAGAGTTACTATGCTAGCAAAGTTTACATGTGCTCCCCATGCACAACTTGCATGGTAGCACAATGTCGCCTGAAACTCTCCAATGGAATAACTTTGGTCAAAGATCAGTTGAATTGAGTTTACCGTCGATCTTGACTAGCTCAATCGTTTTATCAGACACTGTTTGTCTGATAAAATGATACATGATGTC